GGTCAGAATGGAAGGCGCTTTGCACGGTAGTCTTGTCCATGCGCCCACCTCCCTTACACGTGCCAAACCTGGCCCGGTTACTGAACCCCAGTCCTGTGTTTGAAGAACCCGAGGAAGGACACCGTCTGCATTCTCATCCCCCATCTCCGAGTCTGAAGTTTCTCACCACCAGAAAGCTGTGCCCTTAAGCCCCAGTTCAAGTACATTTTTCTCAGCGGGAATGAGGTGAATTTGGAACTTGGAGAGCTTAGTGGGAGTGACAGATCCAGACACATTTAATTTTGAATAAGATATTTTAGGGGCTGGCCTGGTGGCATAGTGGTTAAGTTCACATGATCCACTTTGGTGGGCCAGGGTTCACTGGTTCCAGTCCTGGGCCTGGACCTACACACTGCTCATCAAGCCATGCGGAGGCAGCACCCCATGTGGAAGAGTTAGAAGGACCTACACGTAGGCCATACAACTATGTACTGGGGCTTTGGGGAGGAAAAAAAAGAGGAAGACTGGCAACAGATGTTAGCTCTGGGCCAATCTTCCTCACCAAAAAAAGAAAGAAAAGAGAAGAAATTTTCTTTAAAAAAATCAATAAAATAAAACGCCTGAATGCAACTTAGGAAAAAAGCCTTCAATTAAAAAAGAAAAAGAAAAGATATTTTAAGCCTATGTGTGAGATATATACAGGTTGCTATTGGGAGTGTAACGAAGGGGCCTTTAGTTCAACCTGGGGGTTCAGAGAGGCTTCCTGAAGAGAGCAGTGTCTGCACAAAGTCTGAGAAGGGCAAGTTGGAGTTGCAGGCAAGAGCGTCCGAAAGGGCATGCCCAGGAGAGGGGAGACGCGGAGGGAGATCACAGAGGCGTCGCCTGTGGTGATGGGTGGTTGGAGATGAGCGGGAGACGAGCCTGGATAAAGACAGGCCTCGGGAAGGGGTTGGGTAGGGAGCCATGAAGGCCTTACCCAGCCCCTGAGGCGATCAGGTTGACACTGTGGAGAGCCCGCTGGCCGCTCTGTGGGGAAAGCCTGGACGAGGGCGCTGGGGGCCTGTGAGGAGACTCTGTGGGGAAGCCTGGACGAGGGCGCTGGGGGCCTGTGAGGAGACTCTGTGGGGAAAGCCTGGACGAGGGCGCTGGGGGCCTGTGAGGAGACTCTGTGGGGAAGCCTGGACGAGGGCGCTGGGGGCCTGTGAGGAGACTCTGTGGGGAAAGCCTGGACGAGGGCGCTGGGGGCCTGTGAGGAGACTCTGTGGGGAAGGCCTGGACGAGGGCGCTGGGGCCTGTGAGGAGGCTCTTGTAACAGCCCAAGAGAGCAAGCAAGAGGTCTAAGGCCTGGGTAGCGCCGCTGCAGTTAGGATAGAAGGACCAGATTTAGGGAGCGTTGAAGAGGAAAAGGTGGCCAGCCTTGGTGGCTGGATATGGGGGTGAAAGGAAGGGGGAATCCAGGATGACTGCAGGGTTTCTAGCTTGGGGCCTGGGTGGTGTCGTTCACCTCAGTGGCGAGTGGGTTGGGGAGGAGAAGGTTGTGGGAATGAAAAAGGAAGGTGATAGTTCAGCTTTGGACGTTTGGGGTTTGACACGAGAGGGGAGAGACAGATTTGGCATCATCTGCGCGTGGGCCCTTAACGAGGAAATGGTCAGATGAGACTGCCCGACGGGGTGTCGCGCTCCTGGTGGGCTGAGAGTGGGATCTGGAGCCAACACCAGCGTTTCAGGGGAGGACAAGAGAAAATAGTGTCACGGAAGCTAGAGGGTAGAGGTTTTTGTGGAAGAAGCGAATGGTCTGTAGAGCCCAGGGCCGCGGCAATGTCCAGGCTGGCGGGGATGCCTGGAATTGGGTGGCCTGGCGTTGTGCTGGGGCAGTTGAGTGGGATGCAGATGGCAGAAGCCAGGTTATGGTGAGTTGAAGAGTAACTGGAAGGGAATTGGGAACCATGTCCTCTACTCTCCTGAAGCTCGGCTGGGAAGGGAGGAAGAACCGAGAGGTGTTAGCTGGAGGACAGAGGTGAGGGGAGGTGCTTAGGGTGCAGGTGTTTCTTTTTAAGGGTAGTAGAAGCTTGAACATGTGTACGTGCTGAAGAGAGAGACCCAGTTAAGGAGAAGAGGTGGAGATGCAGGAGAGGGAGGCGAGACGTGTGCAGCATCATCCTGGAGGAGACCTCGTGGATGGGGCAGGAGCACTGAGGCTTGTGCCCAGCCTTCCTCTGAGACCAAAACAGGAAAGGAGGCTGCATGCAAGCGTGGATAAGGCGGTGGGGAAGAGAGGCAGGAAGTTGAGAGAGATTATTTCCAATGGCCTCAGTTTCCTCTCAGTGGTGCCTGGCTAAGGCAAATCTTCCTGCTCTGCTTATCCCCGCTCAGGGCTGGAAATACACAGTCCTTCTCTGGTTTGCAAGGCTTAAGCTCAGTGCACCTTTGAGCGCTTGGCTAGTGTCTCCTAGCTAAAGCGCTAGGACCTCCTTTTCCTGGGACCAGTTCCCCAGCTCCAGGCATCTAAATTCTGAGTATCTCCATCTGCTCATCCAAAACCTTTGAATTTCAAATAGCAAGACTCTCTAACCTTCTGTGGTCAAAACTAAGCTGTTGAAGGATGGAGAAACTCAACTGGCAGAGAAATCAGCAGAGAACTGTTTCGTATGCCCTAAGGCGAGGCTTGGCTATTCGATCTTTGGGAAATACTTCCTAAGATTCCCTGAGCCAGCCCTGGCCCTTTAGGCCGGGGTTCTGCACCTGTGCCTGACCGATGCCCCAGGGTCCCAGGAGGGCATATCAGCTGAAGGGATGCCCTTGTCCTAACTCATTGTGGATCTGATTGAATTTGCCACCCAAGAATCTATCTGAACCTTTTTCCTATTGATGTTTTCAACTTGCTAATCAGGAGGATTTACACACTTCGTATGTTTGTTGAGTAAAGCAGTACAAGCGAATGAACAATTTTGGATAATTTTAGGAAATTGTGATCTCAGCTGCTGGTGCTAGGGTCAGACTATTTCACACTTACTTCCCCCAACCTAGTCTGAAACATACAAAGGTCATGGTTCTCAGCTTTGGCTACAGACTAGAATCTCCTGGGGAATTTTAAAAATACCACTGCCCTACCGCAGACCAATAAATCAGAATCTTGAGAGTACCTGGGAGTCCTTTTAAAAAGTTCCCCAGTTTCTAATGTCAGGCAGAGTGAGAACCTGTGGGCCAGGCTAACCTTGTCACCACAGCCTTTCATTCAGTGCCTTTTTCTTTTTTGAGGAAGATTAGCTCTGAGCTGACATCTGTCACCAGTCCTCCTCTTTTTGCTGAGGAAGACTGGCTCTGAGCTAACATCCGGGCCAATCTTCCTCTACTTTATATGTGGGACGCCTCCCACAGCATGGCTTGCCAAGCAGGGCCACGTCTGCATCCGGCATCTGAACCGGCGAACCCCGGGCTGCTGAAGCAGAACGTGTGCACTTAACCGCTGTGCCTCCAGGCTGCCCCCATATAGTTCATGATTTTTTTTTTTTGAGGAAGATCAGCCTTGAGCTAACATCTGGTTCCAATCCTCCTCTTTTTCCTGAGGAAGACTGGCCCTGAGCTAATATCCATGCCCATCTTCCTCTACTTTATATGTGGGATGCCTGCCACAGCATGGCTTGATGAGTGTTGCCATGTCCGCACCCGGGATCTGAACTGGCAAACCCCAGGCCACCAAAGCGGAACATGCGAACTTAACCGCTGCGCCACCAGGCCAGCCCCCAGTACCTTTTTCATGTCATGGCTTCCAAAGAAAAAGATACCGACACTGGCGTTAATGCAGGGGGCTGCCTGGAGCCAGAGGCAGCTGGCCTGGGGGTCCTCCCTTCCTGTCTGCCTTCCGGAGGGCCGAGGGAAGAAAAATCAGTGTTTTGGCACACCTGTAGTCCATCAGGTGCCCGGGTCTCACCTGATGGCAGGCTTTGTTTTATTGCTCTTATTGGTGTCTTTTGGGAGGATTTTAGTGCAATCTGAGTAAATTATAAGGTCTATTTCATAATGCTCTGTTGTACTTCTCATTTATAGCTTTATTGAGGTATAATTGACATACAATAAACTACGTAGTTAAAGTGTACAGTTTGATAAGTTTTGACATATGTGTATAGCCTTGAAACCATTACCACAGTCAAGATAATGAACATGTTCATCATCCCCAAAAGTTCCCTTATGCTCCTTTGTAATCCATTCCTCTTTCCGCCCCTTCCCAGATAACCGCTGATCTGCTGTCACCCTAGGTTGGTTTTCATTTTCAAGAATTTTATGTAAGTGGAATCCTACATACTCATACTCTTTTGTCTGGCTTCTTTTAGTCAGCATAGTTATTTTGAGATTCGTCCATGTTATTGCATGTGTCAATAACTCATTCCTTTTTGTTGCTGAGTAGTATTCTATTGTGTTGACATAACACATTTTTTTAATCCGTTCACCTCTTGATGGGCATTTGGGTTGTTTCCAGTTTGGGGATATTACAAATAAAGCTGCTGTGAATATTCGTGTTCAAATCTTTGTGTGGACATATCTTTCATTTTTCTTGGGTAAGTAACTAGAAGGAGGATTGTTGGTTCACATGCTAGGTGGATGATTACCCTTACAAGAAGCTAACTGTTTTCCAAAGTGGCTGTACCATTTTACACTCCCCTCCAGCAGTATATGAGAGCTATCCTCTTTAAACTGGCCGAGGAGCCCTTGTTTCCATCTTCTCCTCTTGACTGATGCAAAGTGCCTCCTTCTGTCCTTGGGGCACATGTGAGAGAGGTGATGTTGGGAGTTAGGGGCCAGAGATGGAGACATGTATAGAGAAATGGATGGGTTGATGGATGTAATAGATAGGTAAATAAAGTTGTCTTGGTATCTCTTTTTTCCTCCACTTTTCTGTGTTTTTCCATCTGTTGTAGGCACTGACGAAACAGGCAGTGGCGCAGATTATGTCACCTAAGTCAGATCATTAATACATCTCTTTTTGTGACTGAACGATTGATATTTTCGCCCCTTACCTGCAGGTGCCCAGACACCATGCCACAACCCTGCAGACCTGACCTTGGCAGGAAGTAAAGGACTTCCTTGTCTCCTCTGTCCCCCATCCTCACTATGTCTTCGACTCAGGGAAATGGAGAACACTGGAAGTCCCTGGAGTCGGTGGGCATCAGCCGCAAAGAGCTGGCGATGGCCGAAGCCCTGCAGATGGAGTATGATGCTCTGTCCCAGCTCCGGCATGACAAGGAGGAAAGCAGAGCCAAGCAGAACACAGACCCCTCTCTCATCAGCTGGGATGAGCCTGTCCTAGACTTCTACAGCAAGCCAGCAGGAAGGCGGAAGGACTTCAAGCTCTTACGCGGTCTTTCTGGCTCCGATCCTACCCTCAATTACAACTCAGTCTCCCCACAAGAACGGCCACCCAACCACTCTACCTCCCAGGGCTCCCAGCCTGGCCCAGATCCCTGGCCTAAAGGCTCCCTGGCTGGAGACTATCTCTACATCTTTGATGGTTCAGATGGGGGGCTCTCTTTGTCCCCAGGACCTGGGGACGTAGATGGCTCTTCCAAGAAACTGTCCCCACCTCCTCTGCCTCCCCGAGTGTCTATCTGGGACAACCCTCCTCTGCCTCCCAGAAAGGGGTCCCCCTCATCCTCCAAGATCTTCCAGCCCAATGACATCAACACTTTGTCTTTGATCGAACAACCTCCAGGCAAATTGCTAGGGCATCGGATCTTAGAGGAGGAAGAGGAGCGGGGAGGTGGGGGTCCAGGGCCCCTACTGGCGTGTGTGGACTATGATGGTATCAATGATGCAATTACACGGCTCAACTTGAAGTCAACCTACGATGCAGAGATGTTGCGGGACACCACCAGGGGCTGGAAGGAGGGCCGGGGGCCTCTGGACTTTGGCAAGGACACTCCTGGAAAACCCGTGGCCCGGAGCAAGACCATGCCCCCTCAGGTGCCCCCCCGCACCTATGCCTCCCGCTATGCCAACCGAAAAAATGCTACACCTGGCACGAACCACCGCATTTCTGCTGCTCCGGTGAGGACCTTATTGTGTTTTTCCTGTGCCCCTTTCCTTGTGTCGTTAGGAAACAGAAAGCCCCTCATTCTTCTTTGCTCCTCCCCTCTGGTTCTGTCGTCAGGTCCCTGGGCCCTGGTGGGGAGAGGAAGAGGGGCAGCAGTGGAGACGTGGCTCCTTCTCAGGGCTGGGTTTGTGTATCTTGGCCAATACAGCCCTGCTGGGGGCCGGCATTTTGCAACCTCACTTGCTAGGGTACGCCTACTTCATGATGTAAGGACTGAACTGGGGTGGGAGTTCCTTGATTCTATGGCCAGATGGCCTTGTGGACTGGAGCAAGTGGCTTCTGCTTTCTGACTTTCTGCTCTGCCAAAAATGCTGCGTGGTAATGAGGCTCAGTCATAATATTAGCCATTGTTTAATGCCCACTGAATACCCGAGTTTGGTCCAGACCCCTCAACCGCCCTGCCCGAAAGTCTAAGGCGCACCACCGCCCGATCTTTCCTGTCCTGAAGCTTGCTTCTTCTCTCTCTCTTTTCTCTTTCTCTGTCTCTTCCCCCCGTCTCCCTCTCCCTCTGTCTCTCTCAGTCTCTCTCTGCCTGTCTCTCTGTCTCTGTCCTGCTCTGTCTCTCTGTCTGTCTGTCTGTCTCTCTCTTCCCCCTGTCTCTCTCTGTCTCCCTTTTTGTCTCTCTTTCTCTCTTTTTAACATAAAATTTACCGTCTTAACCAATTTTAAGTGTACCGTTCAGTGACGTGAAGTACATACACCTTGTTGTGCAGCCGTCACCACCAGCCGTCTCTTTGCACAGTGCAAATACGTAGAAAGAATGTGCAGTATGATAATAGTGATTTTCCTTTTATCAGTTCATAGGATGAAATAGCAAAGTATCTCCATAGAAGCGCAGGGTGGGCGTTCTAGGGCAACTTCGATCCTTTTTCTGTTTTAAAAAAGTGTCAGCAGGGGCCAGCCCCGTGGCCAAGTGGTTAAGTTCGTGTGCTCCGCTGCGGTAGCCCAGGGTTTTGCCAGTTCAGATCCTGGGCGCGGACATGGCACCCCTCATCAGGCCATGCTGAGGTGGCACCCCACATGCCACAGCTAGAAGGACCCACAACTAAAAATACACAACTGTGTACCGGGGGGCTTTGGGGAGAAAAAGGAAAAATAAAATCTTAAAAAAGAAAAATAAAAAGTGTAAGCAGCATCTCCATGGGTGGGACCTGAAGGCCACTTTGTGTCACCCTTGGGCCCTGGAGACCTTGGCCCCAGAGGAGTCGAGAGGCACCCCGTGGCTGCTGACTGCTGCAGGCACAGCATTCCACCTCGGTCCATCTCTGTTTCCTCCTTACCCATTGTCTAAGGGATCCTGGGGCTTTCCCACCTTAAGTCCCAGCAATTGGGATCCTTCACAACTCTGGAAAAGCCACGTGGTCCTTCCTTCCTGTGCTTCTGCTAAGAGAATCCCCCGGAGCAGAATTAGCTCCTGGGATAAGTCACAGCATTAGAGCTCTGGGCTTTTTAAAGGCCCTGCTCTGAGAGGTGGAGCTGCTCCCGCTATTTATAGGGACGGGGAGATTCCTGTTCCCTGCTCCGAGTTCCCTGCGTAGGGCTGGGCCTGCCTGGTAGGTGGCCACCTCTGCCGCTCCTTCTCTCTGCTTTCCCCGCTCCCTGGCCCTTGCCCATCCTCTGTGTGTCAGCAGAGTTCTGAGAGGGAGCTCGCTCCAGTCTCCTTGAAGAAGCTACGGCAAAGCAGAAAGCTCCTGCCAGTTCTTAGGGGGGAAATGCGTCCTTGGTCTTCCCCACCTCAGCTCGGTGCAGGGGCTCATCCCGCCAGCAGGGGGTACCCCTCAGGCCCTCGGCCTGTACCGCCGCCCCGCCTTCGCCGGGCTTCCAGCCGGAGGGACCCTCCTTATCCCAGGCCTGTGGAGCCAGCTCTGGACACGGTTGGCTCCAGATGTCAGCCTTGTACCCCCGCTGTCAGCCTCTGCCCAGCAGACTCCCCCAGCCAGCATCGGGCGATGCCACCAGGGCCTGCCAGCAGGGCGAACGTAAGTGGCTTTTGTCTTCTTCTAGAGCTAGTGAGTGGTACTGAAAGGGCATGAAGATGGCCTTCAGTAGCCACTCTGTTCTCTCCCCTCCTTGCCTTCCCTCCTCTCTGTCTCTGTCTCTGTGTGTTCTCTCTGAGCCTCACTTTTGTGGGTTAATTGCTGACAGTGGTACTATTGTTTTGACTGGGACACAGGCATGAACTTGGCAGAGTTAGGACCTCACATGCCAGCTGCTCCCACTGCTGCCCTTCCCTCTGTGCACCTCGTCCATGCTCACCCAGGAGAACAAGGCTTATGAGGGAGGCTCGCTCAGAGGAAACACTCTGGAGCTGCCATCTGCCCCGAGGGATGGGGAGGACGTGAGCACAGCCAGGGGGAGGATGAAAGACGAGGTGTTGTCGTGCACACAGACTGGAGCTCGGGCTCCCCGGAAGCAGCTGCTGGTACTGGCTGCCTTTACCGGATGCAGCTAGCACTCCATCTGAGCTGCAGCCTCATTCCCTGGGGGTGGCCTCCCCTGGCGGCTCTGGGAAGCCTGTCAGGCAGAAACCCGTCATGCACTGGCTCCCCCCACTTCCTCCTCCCTAGGTTGGGCTACGGGCCTTGCGTGAGGGCTTCTGTAGAACTCCTCATGGGTGACAGAAAGCAGCTCTGTGATGGGAGACTGTCAGGTCTTGTCTGAGAGAATCCCCACCACCACACCCTTTCTCTTGGACAGGAAGTGGGGCCCAGGTGGGATCTCTGGCATCCCAGCTGTTCCGAACCGGAAGACTCGGGAGCTGAGGGGAACTAAGCCTTGCACAGGTTCTCTCCTGCCCAGAAAGCTGCTTTGACACCTTCTTCCTCAAATAGCTTCCACTGAGAAGGCACATGTGTCTGAGTCATTGCCTCCATCGAGGGCTCTCAGTCACTCTGCTTTGGGTCCCCGGGGCTTGCTGTGGATGTTAAGGCTTTTGCCTGGGACCCAGCTTCCCTGGGGATGGTTTGGGCAGCCCACTTGCCCTGGTGTCACTGTGGGGGCAGGGAAAATAGCTGCCTGCCCAGCTCCATGCCAGGCCTCTGGGAGCATCCCCCAGGGAGCCGGCCCAGCAGCCAAGCACTGCTGTGCAATGCCCAGCATGCTGGATTGAGCTTATTAGGTGCCGTTGCCCCTCGGAAGGAGGTTTGGCAATACTCTTGTCCATCCCATCCAAACTAGCCACGGTTTCAAGTCCTCCTTTTCAACTTGGCTGTTGGTCTCCTAGGACAGCAGATAAATATATTCCTGGATTTCCCATATTTTCTTGTGCCCCTTTCACTGAATGTTGAATGCCTAGAAAGTCTTTCCACCTAGAGTTAAGAGTTTAGATCTGGGAGCAGCTTGTGAGAAGGGGATGCCACGAGGGAAGAGGCACTGAGTCAGCTGCTCTTCTCTTAAAGGTGGGCTCCCGGCCCCATGCCGTCGCCAATGGCCATGAATTGTTTGAGGTCTCAGAGGAGAGAGATGAGGAAGTTGCTGCGTTTTGCCACATGCTGGATATGTAAGAGTTAAAGAGTGATGAGGGGTTGGGAGGGTTGTGGGGGCTGGGAAGGAGGGCCACCCCTTCCAGAACTTTGTCTGAGAAGGAAGAAGAGCCATATTTAATAAATCTGAATTCATAGCTGTGGGATGCTTCCTACAACAGGTGTTTGCTGGCTTTTTGAAATCTTAGAAGTTTCACATTTTCGACAAAATTTATGAAACCTCTGTCTAACAAATTATCCCAGTCGCTTCAGGCTCAGTTGCCCTCAGTAGCAAATGCACCCTGGATGGAGACGAGAGTGTTATCTGGAGCTAAAAGAGAAAGGAAGTGGATTCAGACACGTTTCCCGTTGAAATTAGCCTGGATGGCCTGGCCCTTTTAGAACGATCTCTACTGTCCAGCTTGGCTAGGGAAATATTTTGCAGCTGGAGCAAATGTGTCAAGACACAGTTTCTCCGAGCTGCCTCCCCAGGGCCCCATCCTGGCCTGCAGACCCGGAGGGCCAGGCTGAGTGGGGACAGAGGGGCCCTGGGGCCTCTTGTCATTGCTCTTTTCTGAAGGCACAGCGAGGGCCCTTCTCCCTCTCTTCCTGCACAGCCTCCGATCTGGCTCTGATGTCCAAGACTACTCCCTCACTGGATATGTCTGGAGTGCCGTCACTCCGAGCCCGGAGCATCTTGGGGATGAGGTCAACCTGAAGGTGACTGTGTTGTGTGACAGCCTGCGGGAGCCGCTCACTTTTACCTGCAACTGTAAGTCAGTGGGTGGTGAGCATCCCTGGAGGTGGGGTGGGGTTGACTGTGTTTTGGATTGTAGCCTCCTTTGGCTTTAATTCCCACCCCACCTCATGGCCCAGATGACGGGCAGTAGGGAAACCCCTTTGGGGGACTGGCTCTGGGGCCAGCTTTTTAGGTCCACAGTCACTTTCCTCAACCCCAAAACTGTGTGTGTGCCTGCCTTATCTGGTTGGTGATGGGGCTGGAGGATGCTTAGCCAGGAGTGGGGGATTGGGGTGGGCACGCTGAGCCCCGCCTGCCCCAGCGCCCCCCATTATTGCTTCCCCTGCCCACTCCTTACAGGCTCCTCCACTGTCGACTTGCTCATCTACCAGACCCTGTGCTACACCCATGATGAGCTGAGGGATGTGGACGTGGGTGACTTTGTCCTGAAGCCCTGTGGGCTGGAGGAGTTCCTGCAGAAGTGAGTGACCTGGTGGAGACAAGCAGGATAGGAGGCAGCGCCTGCCTTTTGGATAGTAGGATTGTGAGGGGACTTCATAGGGGCGGTGCTGGGATCCAGGCTGGAGCTGGCAGTCCCACCCCAATCCCACAGTCAGGACTCCTGCTTTCTGGGCACACTTGCAGCCACGTCGCACTTTCCCCAGGAGCTCCCTCTTCCAGCGGGGTTGGCCAGCTTCCTGAGCCAAATCTGCTGTGGAAAGAGCTTGGAGCTGGGATTAGGCAAAGAAAAGGTCCTGTCTGCTTGCAGACTTCTGCATGTGGATAGATGTGTGTATGGGGGTGGGGGGCCTGTGGGGTTGTTTCTCCTGCCCTAGATTATGTGTGATGTCTTTATGGCCAGGGGCAGGAGGAACTGGGCAGAAGTACCCTTGTGAACCCGGGGGAGAAATCATCGTTGCTCTCTCCTCCCCCTTCCCTTGCCGACAAGCCTTTCCCTGCTGGCATGAGCGCTGGTTACCCTGCCGTCCATCCAGTGCCTTCTGCAGCAGGCAGCCTCCCTGGACATCTGATGTGGACTGGCCACAGCTGTCCCCTTCCACTGCCCTGGGGCCCTGGAGTGCTCGTCAGAGGGGGTTGCACCCCCCAGGGGTGCCGCTGGGTGCAGACTGTGGGATCAGCCAGAGAGCAGCAGATAGGGAAATAAAGGGATCTGCTTCCTCTCCAAGCTTCCAGTTGCTTATGCCTGCTACCCCTGGCCACCTGGAGAAAGCAGGCCTTGGAGAGGGGAAGCAGAGGCCTGCCTCTCGGTTCCAGGAGTGCTGGGGCATTCCACCACGTGCTGTTTCTCTTACATCCAGGTCCAGGTGCAAGGATGGTTGACCTACGGCTCAAGCCGTTCTTGGCTAGTTTTCTTTAACCTTTGCATCATAGGTGCTTCCTGACCTTTGCGCCCTCAACTGGGAAGCTGAGGGAAAGGGGAGGGGCAGGGCCCCTCGTGGCACAACTCCAGGAGTATGCTCAGACATGTTCTGTGTCTCGCTTTCCCCTGGAGAAATAAGAACGGGTCCTAGATTCAGGATCTCGCTGCAGGGAGCGCCCTGGGCAGCCTGCCACTCTTATAAGGGAGCAGGGCATAGTGGACCACACCAATGTGGCTGATTTGGGTTGTGGCTTGTGACCTACTAGTTGTGAAACCCTAACCCTCAGTTTCTTCTGTAAAATGTAGTGAGGATTAAATGTGAGAATGACCCGATGAGCAATCAATAAATATTAGTAGGGTAGGACAAGTCCAAAGAGAGGAATGTGTTGGATCTGGCTTAGATGGATACTGCCATTTCCCTCGCAGCTCCCCTAAGTCCTGGGTCCCAAGTCCAGAGGTGGTAGACAAGCTGTCAGGTCCCGACTTCCTGCCCAGACCAGGCAGGGTGGACAGGATTGGTGGTCCTGTGGCGTGCCTCTCCCACTCTTCCTTTCACACACATAGGCAGCCTTCCACAGAGGTCAGGCAAGTCCCCAGGGACCTGTGTCCATGACTCAGTCTAGGAGCCCCCTGCCCTGCTCCCACCGAGGGTCTTCTCATCCCACCCACCAACAGAAAAGCCTGGCCCCCTGAGCACAAGGCTGCTGCCTTGAGGTGAGGGTGGAAAGGACCTTTTGGGGCTTCCAGAAAGCTGCCAGCTCCCAAGGAAGCCCTGCGGTTTCCTCCCCTTGCCCAGCAGGAGGGGCTGAAGCTGCGGGGGCGTGGTGGGTCCAGGATGTAGGCTGCTCTCAGATAAGGACCTTGAGACAGTCCCAGGGGAGGGTTGGGTTCCTGCCACTCCCCCCCACCACTCTTCCTTCCTCTCAGGCACTCCCACTGGGCCCACCCCACAGTCCAGCCTCTCCACCCCCAGGATTGGGCTGCAGCTTAGTCTTAGTAGGTTGGGGCCTAGATCAGAGGCTTGGCGCCTCAGGGTGTGGAGAACCCCCTTAGTCCTAGGTGCACCCAGACTGGCCTTGGGCCCGGGCACCTCTGTTGGCTTCTGCACATAGCCCTTCCCTTCCCTCATTGCCTCTCCTCTCCCCTCCACTTCTGGCCTGGAGTCCCAGCTCTGCTGAGGAGGGAGCCCCTTCCTGGCTTCTCTTGCCAGCTGCTGGGACCCAGCCCAGGCTTGCAGCGCCAGCCTGGAAGAGGGACTTGCTCTGCCCTTCTCCTGGGTTTTCTTTCTGACTAAGGTGTGATTTGGGAGGGAGGAAAAGGCTGGATCACAGAGGGACTCCCTAGGCCTCTTTCTCCAAAACTAGGGAGGGGTCTCGCGTGTTGGCACTTGAGCAGTGGGAATGGGATGCAGGTGGCCGTTGGTTAGGAGTCCATGGAGGGTTTATGTGGTCATTCACAGGGAGGGGAGAAGCAGATCTGGGATGGGCTTGGGAACAACAGACCTGGAATCTTGGAGCCTTGAGGCTTCGCTTGGCCTTAGCACCCAGTTGGTAATAGTGAGGGTGGGAGACAGAGGATCCCGGTGGGAGAGTGTCACTCCTGAGCCCCGTGCCCAAGCTTGAGCACAGGCTGACTTCCAGCATGTCCCATACACCACAGCGAAGAGAACGGGCTTTAAACACCACCCCTGAGAAGTCCCTCTGTTCCCCATGCCCTCCAGAAATTCCCTCCTCTGGAGTGAACCAGTGATAATGACACAGGTAATAAGTGCCTAGGAAAGTCGACGTTTGCACAGACCAAGGGTGAAGTGTATTAGGTGGCTTTTCTTTAGACAGACCTCCACTGTGACATTTTCCAGGAGTTAAGGCAGGGGGCTCAGCACAGGTACCCCTGTATCACTTCCCCCTACCCTCTTCTCCTGTCACTCTGCCCAAGCTCAGATATGCAGCCCCTTCCCACTGAGTCCCCAGGATGCTAATGCTGTTGTCCCCCTACCCCACCAGCAAGCATGCCCTGGGCAGCCATGAGTACATTCAATACTGCCGCAAGTTTGACATCGACATTCGGCTACAGCTGATGGAGCAGAAAGCTGTACACAGTGACCTGGCCCGCACGGTTCGTGCAGGGGGAGTCGATGGCTGCACAGGGTTGGGGAGGTGGAGTGGACAGAGGGTGATGTGCAATACAGGAGGTGGGATAGGGTAGGAGTGCTGGGCTGAGAGAAAGGTACCACCTCTCTCTGAATAGGGTACTTCTTACACAGGTGAATGATGACCAGAGCCCCTCCACCTTGAACTACCTCATCCATCTGCAAGAGAGGCCAGTCAAACAGACCATCAGCAGGTGAGAGTGGGTGCCATCTTGTATGTGGGCCAAGCAGGAACTGTGTGGGGACCCCACAGATATCCTTGCTCGCCTTTCTGCCAGGGCCCCAGGATTCTTGCAGGTGCCAGGGCTTGGGGCCCAAGTCTTATGGGGAAGATCCTCACTCGAGGGCATGTTATATTTCTTCCCTCTAGGACTTTGCCATCATTCTCCAAGTGAGAGGTGGTAAAGTGGAAAGGACTTGCCCTCCATGGAACATATGGGAAGAGGGGGAGTCCCTTTAAACCAGAGCCTGGTTCCTGAGCTGTGGAGAGGGAGGGAGAGAATGGGTGTCCCAGTACACTGGGTCTGTCCTGACCTCTCCTATGACTCTTCCCTGTCCCCAACTCCCCAGGCAGGCCCTGAGTCTTCTGTTCGACACTTACCACAATGAGGTGGATGCCTTCCTGCTGACTGATGTGAGTACAAATCCTTGGGCTGGCCCAGCCACCTTGAGTTCCTCCCGCCTCCCCCCGTCCTCCTGGGATCAGCCAGCCCTACAGGGACCTGGAGTAAAGACACTGAAAATCTATCAGCAGAGCACTTCTTTTCATTCCCCTAGCTCATGGGCGAACCAAGACTGCCGGCTCTTGGACAGCTGGCAGGTGTGGAGAGAGGGGCTCTGCTCCTTTGGAGAAGTAGGGCAGGAACTGTGGCCCGATCCGTCTTTCTGGAGTAGGGCGTCTCCAAAGCTAAGGGACGTAGAGTTGTCGCCCCAGCTGCTGGCCTTGGAGGTGCATTGGAGTTTGCCCCCTGTGAGCAAGGCCCGGGAACCGCTGACTGGAGAGGTTCTGATGCTGGAGTCACAGGTGGAAAACCATTGGGAGGTGAGAGTCGCAAATGTGGGGAGGGGCCAAGAGTCCCCCCACTTGGACTCACATGGAGCTTAAAGCCTCACAATCTTTGCCCGAAATATCCTGAAGCTAATGAAGCTCAGACAGTGAACTTTAGCTCACAGTGAAATAATCCCTGTCTCATTGATCTGGTTAATAGTGGTCTGGACTCCTCCCTGTTGGGGAGCTCTGCATTATATCTCGTTCAACCCCTACCACTGCCCAAATCCCTTCTCTAGTGGCCTCTGCTCCAACACGTACAGTGACAAGGGGAAGTTCTCTGAACACCTTTTCTGTGCTAATCTGGTCCTGTGTTAGTGGCTGCTGTGGGTAGAAAAGCATGAGAATTGTCTTAGCCTCAGGGAGCTTGTGTTCCTGCTAGAAAAATGGCGTCATAAAGCTATTAGTAGGCAGAACAGGGTGGTACATGAGTTAATCAAGCACTCTTGGAGAGGGAGAGAGAGGGCACTGGCTGGGACGGCTGTGGGAAGGAGGCTGGATTTTAGCTGGTCCCTGATTGAATTTACAGAGGTAATCAGGGCAGGGCAGGTGGAGGAATTCCAAATGGGAAGACTGCAGGGGCCAGTGTGCAGAGGGGAGCCGATGGTGCAGCATGCCTGGAACTGAGATGAGACTCATCTGGAAACTGGGTGGAAGCAGGAGAAGTAAGCCTGGAGGGCAAGTGGAGCCCAGGGTGGTCTCCGGCCTCCTTGTTGTTCCCTGTGGATTGATTTTCTTGAAACTGCACGTCTCTGGGGAGACCTGTATGTGTTTGTGTAGTGTGAGTAGGCTGGCTGAGAAGGGAGGCTGAGAGTAGGGGCAGGTGAGGGAGATGGCTGAAAGAATTGTGGGGCCACTTAATCACTAGGAGCAATTGTTCGCTGATACTAGATGTTGAAAATCAAGCATGGGTTCCACTAGTTACTCCTGGGGATCATGAGCCCTGCTCCCCAAAACCGGTTCCTTCAACACTGTGAGTGCTGGAGGCCCAGAGCGCTAGCCTTACTCTGCTGCCTCCCACAGGGGGACTTCCCGCTGAAGGCTGACAGGGTGGTCCAGTCTGTCAAGGCCATCTGCAACGCCCTGGCCGCGGTGGAAACTCCTGAGATCACCAGTGCTCTCAACCAGCTGCCCCCCTGCCCCTCCCGCATGCAGCCCAAGATTCAGAAGGTAATGGGCTCAGGGATGAACCTGGGCAAGGGGACCCGAGGAGTTACCTGTGATGAGGTGTCCACCCCCTAAAGGGCTCTTCTCTCTACCTCCATCTTGTGTGTGTGAACAGTTCAACCACAGGAGTTCTTGGGAATGGATGCCAAGTGTGTCCCCTCTTCCTGAGGGTGAGGCTGGGCTGGGGTCTGCCCCCTGGGGCTGATTGCTGGGAGCCCAGTTCCAGCAAGGCTTTATTCACAGTCCCTGAGCCATTGGGCAGTTTGCATGTCCAGCAGGGAGCAAAACCAAAATCTCCCTCAAGCCAGGGACTCTGTGACTCCACAGTGGGGGGCCGTGTGCTGAGCAGACAGGGCCAGCACAGTGGGCTCTGTGATCTGAAGTGGAGAGGCCTGAGGGTTGGGGTGTCTCATTTGGGTGGACATGGTGATTTTGTCCTTGGTCTGCCTCACACTGTCTACCACATGGATTTGGTACAAACCATTCCTCTATCCTCCCTGGGGGATCTCTGCTCCTCAAGTTTCAGCCCCTTCTGGTCCAGATGAGCACAGCTTGAAAAGCCCTTCTTCCAGCTGTGATGGAAAAGGCCATGGCCCTGATGCTCCCCTCTCTCCCCTTCCCCCCACAGGATCCCACAGTCTTGGCTGTGAGGGAAAACCGAGGTAAGGAAACTGCTCTCCATCTTTTTCCAGTAGGGGCAGCTGAAAACTGGTCTCTTCCCAGATTCCTTTTTCTCCCAGGCCCCCTTGATTTATGGGTCCACGTCTGCCTCTGTGTGTGTGTTTTCCTATAGGAGGCATGGACACAGCTGGAGAGCACATTTCTTCCCACAAAATGTTTTCTCAGTTCTTTACTGGTTATTCCTGTGGTGTCCCTGGGAGATGGTGATGAGGTGGTAGAAGTGGTGGGGTGGGGGGTGAGACAAAGTGAGCCCTGGGTTCCAGATGGGAAAACTCTCACTTGGAGAGGCTATGATTATTCTCCAGATGGCTCATAACCCCTGCGTTTCCAATTTAGGATGGGCCTGAGGAGAAGCTGATAAAGAATTTTTTACTAGGATTCCCCCTTGGGTCTTTTCAAGCAGAACTTTGTCCTACAAAGCCCGTATCTCTGGCATTCTCGGTCATTGAGTCCCAATCTTTTGGATTTCATGGACCAATAAAATGTCCCAAAAAGTATTATTTTGAGGACCAACATAGAAATTGTCAGCTTTCATTTTGCCAAGCAGTGACTTTTTTAAAGTGACTATTATTATTTCCACTATTTCCCCAAAGAAAGGACATTTAACACTAAATAGGTATCAATACATAAAAATAAGGACAATGTTTAAACTTAAAAATCTACCATTTTATGAGAAGCTCATGGCATGCGCCTGCTTTTTTCTCATCCCACCACCATTGGATGAGCTTTGCCCCAGCTATGAGAAACCTACTGGTATTTGGGGCCTGCTGTCCTAGGGTGTCCCATCCTAGTCAGTGCCATAGCAACAAGATGGAGCTTGTGAGGTCTCACAACTTTTCCTTCTGACCCCTGCATTTCACAGAGAAGGTCGTGGAAGCCCTGACAGCTGCCATCTTGGACCTGGTGGAGCTGTACTGCAACGCGTTCAACGCAGACTTCCAGACAGCAGTGCACGGGAGCCACAAGCATGACCTGGTCCAGGAGGCCTGCCATTTCTCTGGGCCCCTGGCCTTCACTGTCTATGCCACCCACCGCATCCCCATCACCTGGGCTACCAGGTCAGTCCACTGCTGAATGGCCTCCAGGGAGCGAGCTGCATTAGACTCAGATGGGCTCTCCCAGCTGCATGACCCCGCTGTCTTAAGTTTAGGCTCTGTGGCATTGTAGTGCACTGGGGCTGAGGGGGTGAGCCATGTGCTCGAGGGGGCCGTGGGCTGAGACACCCCAGAGGAGAGAGAAGGTCCTCTAGGAGAGGAGAAGAGGCAGCAGCAGCGGTCAGTCCTGTCCTTCCCTCTCAGTGCTGGCTGCAACGGCATCCCTGCCCCCTCCCATCCAAGGCTAGCTGAGGGAGACAGGGCGACAGATGGCCTCTTCCCAGATCGAGTGCATGCCCCACGGCCAATGACTGCGCCCTGCTGCAGACACACAGTGGGAGGGGCGGGGAGGTGGGAGATGACCCTTTGTCTGGAGTCCTTAGGCCTGCAGGGGTGGGTGGAGGGGCACGTTCATTTTGTAATCCTTGGCTCCTCTGCAGGGTCCCCTGGCATCCAAGGCCCGGGGAGTAGGCATGCGGCTCTGCCCGCCCCCCGCCCCTTCCGGAACCCCTCCCTTCACTCTTTGTTCCTCAGTTAATGTATTCCTCTGGGCGACTGGCGGAGAACAAAGGAGGCAGCCTGGGAAACCAGGGCCTTCTCTGACCTCTTCTGTCAGGCACCTGTCGCGAGCCACAGGGACTCCCATGTGTTGGCATTCATGTCGGCATATGTCGTTCCTCCCCCACCCTTCTCACCTGCTCATGCGCTTGCGCATCCCGCACCCGATGGGCTGGAGCTGACTGAGGAGGCGGCTCCGTGGCTGGTTCCCGATGAGGAAGGAAGAAAAAAGCGTGGAGCTAGCCTGGAGCCTGAAGCTGGGCAGAGGGATCCAGATTGAGTTGCTTCTCCTGGAGCTCACTTCCACAAATCCAACCTGGCTGTCTTGTCCAGTGACCCCTAGTTACAGTGCCCAGAGACCAGAGGAGTTTTCTAGGGGAAACGGAGCATGGCATAGGTTGGGTGACTGGGATGGGGTTTGGGAGCTGATTGTCCTGACCTGCCTCCTTTCTCTTGTAGCTATGAAGATTTCTACCTCTCCTGCTCCCTCAGCCACGGCGGCAAGGAGCTGTGCAGCCCCCTGCAGACCCGAAGGGCTCACTTCTCCAAGTACCTCTTCCACCTCATCATCTGGGACCAGCAGTAAGCCCTCCCACAGGCTCCCTGCCCAGCCACTGCACATCCATCCCTACTGGGACTAGGGCTGCCTGCGGAGATTAAACCAGGCTCCTGTCACTAACCCTAACCAAACAAGTCAATCAGCCTCTCGAGTCTCTGCTTCCCTAACTCTTAAATGGAAACAAGTATAATTTCTACCTCTCAACTTATGAGACTCCAATGAGAAGTGTCCATAAAGGCCATTCGTAAACCGCGAAGGGCTACACAAGTGTTGGTTGTTGATTACTAGTTTTAATAATCATTCATCATTTTGATCTTGTCTCCCCTCAAAGGTTTAACTAGTCTGAGGGACTCTCATCCTCTCCCTTCCTCCCATGGTTTCCATAGAATAGGGACAGGGAGCTGTGCTTTCTCTCATACAGATGGAGAAGGGAAGGGTGTCCAGAGGGAGGACAGTGGGCTTGGAGCCATGGGAACCGGGCTCCCTTTCTAGCTCTGTCTCTAGTCCTCGGGTCTCTTTGGCCTCTCTGTACCTTGGTTTCTCAAACTGTAAAGTGGGGACTTTTTTTTTTTAACTCAGAGGCAGTTGTGGCATTGAAATGAAATAGGTTATAAATATAAACATGTAACCACAAGCACAAGATGGTATTAATCACGGTTTATTAACAGTGTCAGGAAGGTAAGCATCAGCCAAGCAAGGCAGGAAGGAAATGGAGGCGAGCATGCTTCGGAGGGTGGCACTGCAGGTGTTGCCTGCCTGGGCCTTTCTGGGCTGTGCGCTGCCCTCCCTCCAGACAGTCAGAAAGCCCCGTGTTTGCTGCCCCCAGCTTCACTTCCCCAGAAGTGACTACATCTGAGTCCTTATTTACAGAGCAAAACTGCAACTTCAGTGTTTGGAGTGCAGATGGATAAGAGTGCAGAGGGCCCTTGGGGAGGCTAAGGATGCTGAAATAGGTAGACAGAGTCCCGAGATGCTCTGAGTCTGGAGATGCTCGCTTTACAGGTAGACAGCTGGGAAGGCAGACCCTTTCTCCTGTCTTCGCACCTGCATAATTCTTAGAACAGTAAAGGTGTAGATAAAGTCCTTTAGTCACACAGCCTCCAGGGCAAGAGAACCGCCTTGGAGGCAGGATGGCTGCCTTCAGTGACTCTGGAGTTGCACCAACCCTTGGGTGCCTCCGGCCTCAGTCCCTGCCGCTGCCAAGGGAGGGGTGTTATGCAGTGCTCCGGCCCAGACAGCCCCACCAGAGTGGCTAGACCCTTTTCCCATGGAGTATCGGAGGTAAAGAAGCAGCCTGGCCTCTGGGTCTCATTCCGCTCCCTGTCTGAGATCTCTGCCCCCAATCCCAGAGGGCTGGATCCCTGCCTAGCACCTTGTGGAGCAAGCCCTGCCTATCCAGATGCTCCATGGCAGACCTCTTCGCACTTTCATGGTCAAGACCAAGGTCTTTGGGAGAAGGCGCTGCAGTGTAGGGCTCAGAGCACAGGCTCCGGGTTCAGTCATCCTCCCTCCTTACTGTAGATGCAGCCGTGGGCAGGTCATTCAGCCAGAAGTGGACATGGTCCTAGGGCCTACCCTACAGGATTGTTTGAGAGCAGGTGGGACATTGCAAGTGAAGAACTTGGCACAATACCGAGCACATCATCAATGCTTTCTTCTTAGCTGGGGGAGCCCTCTCGGTTCTGGTTTCTGTGTTCCAAGTGACTTAAACAGTAACTGATAGATGGAGATATCTGTGCACAAAAATACTGACCATGTAGCCCAGTGCCAGTGTCGTAGCCACAGTGCCACATAACAGAGAGTGCCTGGACAAGGGGCACACATATCACACAGGTGGAGCTCTGTCCCCTTTGCACTGATGAGGAAACTGAGGCACAGAGATGTGAGTAGTTGCCCAAAGTTGTGAGTGGCAGAGCCAGGACCGGAACCTGCACATCCTAGGAGTCCTTCCTGGAAGAGGCAGTCCCCGTGATGTGCTGTTGAGGAATGGGTTGCAGAGGGAAGCAGAGGGGTTTCTCAGACAGGGAGGAGGTTCAGGGCTGCAGCCACTATTCCGGTTATCCTGAATGACCCTGGCTGAAGGTCTGTGGGGAGGTTTTGGAATGCCAGAGATACTCGAGAACTGAGGAGAAGGGGGCCTTGGCTAGGTCTAGGGGTTAGGGTTTCAGTTAGAAAGTTTCCTTACACCCCGTTTTCTCCAGATGTGAAGTTAGCTGCCTCCTGGGTAAAAAAAAAGGGAGGGCTCAGGACCCGCTGTCTCCTCTGCTCTGGGGTCAGCTGGTTCTCACTGCACCAGTGCTGGGGTCAGTTACCCTCTCAAAATAGGCCCAGCAGCCGTGCGCTGCCACCCCTAGCCAAGCGCTGGCCAGCATATCTGCTGGCAGCTGGAGGGGCCCTAATTATAGCTGTGGGCCCCCAAGGGTAGGGGCAGCTGGGACAGAGCTGGGCTCTGCCAGTCTCTGGCAGGAGGGAGTGCCTCATCTAGGTGGCGATTTCCCTGGAGGAGTGAGGGGCAGCAGTGGAGGGAGACTGCTGCCCTTGGTGGCCGCCCTGCCTCTGTGGCCTCTGGCATAGAAGCTGCTGGCCTTGTGCCGGCCAGGAGGGTGTGACAGTGTGGACTTTGGCCCAGGGACAGCTTCCCAGAAAGGTAATGTGGGTCCTCCCTCTCTTTCCACAGCTGCCCTCCCCTCTCTGCCTCACCGCACCCCAGCTCCTTGTCCTGGGCTTGGAGGGAGTGGCGGGCGTGGCTCAGGCAGAGGGAACACCTGGGCTGGGCAGTGGCAAGGCTTACTCTCCGCGCTTTCGGCCCTACCAGGCTACTTTCTCACCCCCTCCCCTGGGGACTTTGGGAAGCCCCTTCTCTTTATCCCTTTGGCTTTGAAAATGTTTTAGGGTGGGAACCAACTGTCTTGTGGCCCGGGGGTTAGTTTGAGAAGGGGCCGGGAGAGGAGAGACAGGCAGGAGGCCCGTGAGGGGTGTGCATGAGGGCCAAGAACTCGCTGCTGCTGCTTCCTGGTTCCTGTCAGCGGCATGAAGTGGGGGAAGGGTGAGGATACTTCCATGGAAAAGGATTGTCAAAAGGAGCAGCTTCCTGGTGGCCCCCTGCAGGAATGCTAAAACGAGGGAGGCACATGGCTTACAGTGGGGCCTGTGGTCCCCCAAACGCTGAGACGGCTCTAGCAGTGAGGTCAGTCTGGGTGCCGTGCGTAGCCTCAGAGTCAGAGCGTTTGCCTCGCTCTGCTGAGAGGCTGCGAAGATACCATCCTGTGCTTCTGGGAGCATCCAGTGGAGTTTTGCCTCCAGTTTGGGACATGTCCTCGTTCTGCAGGAGGGCTTCCCCAGGGAACACATCCGATATCCTAGAGGAGGACGAGTTCTCAGCCTCCGGTTAACTTCCTGGGCTGCCTGTCCCTTGAAGCCACAAGGGCAGCACTGCCTGATTTGGTTTCCTGTCCTCCCTAGGATCTGCTTCCCCGTGCAGGTGAACCGGCTGCCTCGGGAGACCCTGCTGTGTGCCACTCTCTATGCTCTGCCCATCCCCCCAGCTGGCGGCTCCTCGGAGGCCAATAAGCAGCGGCGGGTGCCTGAAGCCCTGGGCTGGGTCACTACCCCACTCTTCAACTTCAGGCAGTATGTGGCCCCCGGCAGCAGCTGCTTGGCCTTGGAAGGGAAAGAGGGGGATAGAGAGAGGGTCCTGGCTGCCGTACTGGCCAATGCCCCTTGGAAGGGTTGGCCATGTGAGGCTCGCCAACAGGGTCCAGAGGGTCCCAGCCCTGGTGGAGAGGACCAAGGCACAGGACGCGAGACCAGGACAATTGATGTAACCAAGGGTTACTGGGCGGGACTGGTGGCACAGCACGGTTGGGCAGGGGCATGGAAGTGCAATGTTTGGGTAACGTGTTATTTGCTCTTGTCACTGGAAGGACTTTAGAGGTCACCTAGTCCAGCTCTCTACCTCATGAAGGCATCCGTGCCACCAGGCCATCCAGACCAGGGTGTGGTTAGCTCAGAAAGGCTTCCTGGATGGGGTGGGCTTTTCTAAGACTTGGAAGAAGGAAGAGGCCATGTCTAAGGGAAGAATGAGAGAGAGGAGCTGGGTGGTGGCTTCAAGAAGAAGGCAGGTTTTTGAATCAAGAAGCCAGAAGAGAACCATCTCAGCCACTGGGTTTTTTGGCTCAGCCCACCCTCCATCCTCCTTAGAGTCCTGACCTGTGGCCGGAAGCTTCTGGGCTTATGGCCAGCAACACAGGAAAATCCCAGTGCCCGTTGGAGTGCACCTAATTTCCACCAGCCGGATAGCGTCATTCTGCAGGTGAGACCCTAGCCCAGTCCCTCCCTCCTGCCCACCCATCAGGACCACTCCAGATCAGCTCCAAGTCTCCCCTGCGGTTTGGGCTGGAATTTTGTGCATTGGATGATGACGTGACTGAGGCCACGGGGTGAATATGGTTAGACCCGGAGTGGGAGTGCGAGTTCTGTGGAATCTACATCCCATCTGCCGGAGGTGAACTTTGATTTCCAGGAGCCTGAAGGCAGGGTCTGAGACCCTCCCTATCCAAGGCTCAGCTCCTCGGAGTCCCTTATATTGAACCCTCATATTACTAAGTCTGATCCAGTCTGAACCGTGCCCTCGGTGTGTGTGGGGGACCTTCCCTCAGCCAGTCACTCCATGCTCTAGTGGGCTGGACCCATTCTCTGGGGGGGGGAGGAGGAGGAACTGGTCAGGCCCAAGGTCTAGTTTCTGGCTCCCCTTTCTTGTGGTCACGAGTTGCTTTGATATGGAATATGGAATGTCAAAGTGGGTATGGAATGAAATGGAATGATAATAGAATGAAAGCTCTGAGAAGCAGATGTTTCTACGTGTCTTATTTACTACTCTCTGCCCAGGCCTAGAATGATGCTTGGTGCATAATGGGGTTCAATGAACATTTGCTGAATGAGGGAACATAGAACTCCTTTCGAGTCCTGGCTCACTCAGCTCTGATATCCATTTTAGGAGGATGACCATCTGGCAGCATAGAACAAGGGGACTGAATATCGCGGGCTTTAGAGTCCATAGGGCCCTCCCTGGCATGTGATCCCACATCCCATCAGGCAGCAGTGCCCTACAGGACCACACTGGAGGCTCCCAGTGGCTCCGCCTGGCAACGCTTCTGTTCAGAGTCCTGGCCTGCGGCTGGCCCCTCACCTGGATGCATCTTAGCCCAATTTCTCTCTTTCCCATTTTTCTCTCTTGCTCTTTGTTTCCTTCTCATTTTTTGCTGGAAGTTACAGCTGGAGGGGACTTTAGAGATCACTGAGTCCCCAACTGGGGACTAATTTACAGACAAAGAACCCAGGGAAGGGAGGAAAAGAGGGAAGGAGAAGGGCAGGAATGCTGGTGTGTGACAGAAGCTGGAGACCCAGGTTGGTGGCAGCCCCCACTCACCTGCCTGTTCTCTCTCCACCATTCTCTCATGCCGTCCCCCAGATTGACTTCCCCACCTCTGCCTTCGACATCAAGTTCACCAGCCCCCCTGGAGACAAGTTCAGCCCCCGCTATGAGTTTGGCAGCCTCCGGGAGGAAGACCAACGCGTGCTTAAAAACATCATGCAGAAGGAGTCCTTGTACTGGTGAGGCCCGGGCATTGCCCAGGTGTGGCTCAGCCCACTAGGTCTGCCGCATTTTGTCTGACCTTCTCTCCCCTGCCAGCTAGGCACCTGGCCTCCTGCTTTGGGAGTAGAGGTAGGATGGATGGGGTGGGCATTGCCACCTAAGCAGGAGGTAGTGGAGAGAGGGCTCTGCTGAGGATAGCCCCAGCCCTTTTTTCATGAGCCGACATTAGGCAAAGTGGAGAGGTGAGGGTCAGGATTAGATCTGGGAATGCCTGTCCCCTCACTAGGGACTTGGCCCAGACCCGGCTTGGCAGGAGGACCAGAGCTTTGCCCGACACCCCAGATAAGCTGTCTACTACTCACTGTCCAGTGGGGCAGCTGGCTGCCATCCTCACTACCCTGCTCCCACCTCCTGCCCCTTCCACACCCATAGCCTTAGGATTTCTCTGGTCCTGTCACTTTTCAAAAAGCATCAGGTGTCAAGGCCAGCTGGCAGCTCTCAGGAGTTAGCGAGTCCAGCTGACCTCATCCTTGAGGCTGCTCCTCTCACCAGGATTGGAGAAGAGTAGATGAGCTGCAGGAGCTGGTGGGACCTGGGCTCCTCCTCTGCCTGCTCTCTCTGGGTGCCTCTCTGGCTCCTGCGTGGCCCTGCACAAGTGGTAGCTGGGGAAATGAGAGACAGGCTCATCTGTCCCCCATGTCCCACCCAAGGCGGCCAGATCAGCTGAGTGCCTGCAGAGCTGCCGTTAGACTCCTGATCGCAGGCCAGGCCCAATTAGCTGCTGGTCCTTTAAAATCTCCAGCTGGCCCCCGGAAGCCCCAGGAGGCCTCTCAGCTGCCCAGACCCTGACCTGTGGGGACCACCGCCCTCTGGTGGCCCTTCTTGGGAGAGGTGCCCTCAGGGCATCCTCAGGAGGGGTAGCATGTGTTGCCCTTGGCCCTTGCATTCTTCCTTGGCCTGAGATGTCCCTGAGTCAGGATGCAAGATGAAGTTTGGGCCCTGGTGTCCACACTCAGCTTCACACGTTGCAGTCATTAGGGATCTTTTAAGGACGCGGATGCCTGGCGTCCCCAGACTTGCTGTCTTGCTTGGTGTTGGGTGTGGCCTGGGCAAGGGGATTTTACACAGCTCCTCGGGGGATTGTACTGCGCAGCAAAATCTGGGAAACCACTGAACTGGAGAGAAGGTGGCATTCTCCTGGAGAGTAAGCACCCTGTTCTCTGGCTGACTCTACTTTCTCGCCTCCCCCTCCACCCCTACCCCAGGCTCACTGATGCTGACAAGAAGCGCCTGTGGGAGAAGCGATATTATTGCCACTCGGAGGTGAGCTCGCTCCCCTTGGTGCTCGCCAGCGCCCCCAGCTGGGAGTGGGCGTGCCTGCCCGACACCTATGCTCTCCTGAAGCAGTGGACCCACATGAACCACCAGGATGCCCTGGGGCTCCTTCATGCCACGTGAGTTGTTACCCCACCTGTCCTGACCACATGTCCTTCCAGAAGCTGGGCCAGCATGCCCCTTCCTGGCCTGGCCCATGGTAAAGTGGGCCTGAAAGTTGGGGCTTTTCCCTCTTCTCTCTTATTTTTTCTTTTCCTCATTTTCCCTCAACGTTATATAATGAACATTGTCAAACATTCAACAAAATGAAACTTTTGCAGTGAACATCCATCTGCCCACCACCTGGACTCTGACCATTCCATTTGCTATATTGCTTTGTCACATGTGCATCCATCTATCCATCCAGCTTATTTTTTATGCATTTTGAAGTAAATTGCAGACATCATAACTCCCTCCTAAATACTTCACCTGCATATCATTAGCTAGAGCTCGTTAGTTTACGTAGAAGGGAATGCCAACCTGCCTTGTAGTGTGCTGCGTCCTGACAGATTCACACACCTCTGTGACCTGGACCTTATCCCCTGGTTCTGCGCTGACAGTCCTCTTTTCCCTCTTTCCTCTGAAGGGCTCTCTGGGGACACGGGCTCCCAGTATAGACCCTGGGCCACCTTTCCTGAATGGTACCCAGGATCCCTGGCCTGTTTCTCACCACTCTCAGTAATTAACATGGACCCAATCCACACGTCTTGCCTTCAGGACTTTTTGAGGCAACGGTTTTGCTAATCTCTGCTAAACTCGTGCTGCCAAGGGTACCGGCTGATGTAAAATTCCCTGGTTCTCTCACTTGCCTGGCAAGCTTTGCATTACAGGATGGTACCAAGACACATTAATGCTGTAACCCTACGAGGGCTCTTTGGTGATGGGAATTTCTGGCGCGAGGCTAACTCGGACTGTGGGCCAGGGCCATTCTCAAGGGTTGCTGTCTGGTTGCTTAGGATTCTTCTAGTGGCTTTGGCAGATTCTGGGAGTCATTGCCTTTCCTCCATCCGTGCCTCTGAAGCCCAGGGGTGGCGTGCTTGCTCACTGCTACACTCAGAGCCCGTGGCTGGGTCGTCAGGTCCTGGGCTCTGTCTTGCAGCTTCCCAGACCAGGAGGTGCGTCGCATGGCTGTGCAGTGGATTGGCTCGCTCTCGGACGCCGAGCTGCTCGACTACTTGCCCCAGCTCGTGCAGGTGGGTGGACTGGCCTTCCCTCCAGTTCTCATGGTCCCACCACAAGCCCCAGGTCAGTCTGCGGTCTGCCCTTGGAACCCAGGGTCCCAGGGGCTCGTAGTGGTTGTGGGTTACAGGCAGTGGGTAAAGCCTCCTGTTGGCTCCATCCCAAACAGGCCCTGAAGTATGAGTGCTACCTGGACAGCCCCCTCGTGCGCTTCCTGCTGAAACGCGCCGTCTCTGACTTGAGAGTGACTCACTACTTCTTCTGGTAAAACTGCGCGTGCAGCAAGGCGAGGGCTTCCCTTGGGAGTGTTCTGCTCTGCTGCAAGCGAGGGGGAGTGAGCTCCTGGGGCTCCAGCATGTGATGATTTCCACAAGGCCTTGGGTGGCTCCCCTTCCTCGGGGGTCTCCGTCCACCCCCGCGTGGCACAGTGAGGATCATCCCTGGTACTTCCCTCCCACACACAGCAGAAATATCAAGGAGACCAGACACAGAGGAGCTTCACGCTGTCCTTAAGGGCACAGTAGGACCAGCTAGAATATGATGAACACCTCTGTATAAACTACGCATACAGAGTCTATTTTCCCTCCCATGTTTGGGGTGGATTTTCCAGGGAGCTGAAGCTGGGTCTGACTCCCCCCACCCCCAACATACACACCCTTGCCTGTGATCCTCTGAGCTCCTGACTCCCCACTCCCTCTGCCTTGCAGGTTGCTGAAGGATGGCCTCAAGGACTCTCAGTTCAGCATCCGCTACCAGTATCTGCTGGCAGCCTTGTTGTGCTGCTGTGGCAAGGGGCTGAGAGAGGAGTTTAACCGCCAGTGCTGCCTCGTCAGCACCCTGGCCAAGCTGGCCCAGCAGGTCCGGGAGGCCACCCCATCTGTACGGCAGGTGAGTGGGGTGAGACCGCCTCTACCCATTTCTGGTCCTGGCTTCTGCAGCTAGTCATTAACTTCATAGGCATCCTGACCAGCATGATGGCACTTGACCATCCTTGGTTTAAGGGCTGGAAGGAGATGACTCTGTCAGTAACCTACAAGGTGATAGTCTGCCAGCTCGATACAGCCCATGGATGTGTTTTGTTTGACCGGCAAAGCATTAAAATTTTTATTTAACTATTTGCCTTAAAGGCTAAGCACAGTTGTGTAAGTTGTTCACTGCACTAGAGCACCAGCGAGAAGGGGCATGTACAGGCTGAAATCCAGTCATACTTTGTTCACTTGCTCTGAGCCATGGCTCGAGGCTGTTGCCAGCCAGAGGGGGCACCTTTATCTGTTTGCACAAAGGGGCTGTATCAGGCCAGCAGTGTTCCTGGTTGCTAACATTTAAAAACTGGGAGATTTTAATGTCCAGATTGTTGACCTATCTTGGCAAGAGCCTGAGCAGCATCTCCCCCAGAGACACAGCCACCCTCCTTGCTCGCCATGGCCTGCTGCGCGCTGTTCTGCCATCCACCCAGCCGCTCGGGTTTAGGCTCGCTGCCTAGGTGCCATCCCAGGCTCGCATCTGGCTGGATATTGTCCTTCCTGGGCTCCTCGAGGCTGTCCGCACTTCCCAAGGGGCTGTTTTCCTGCTGGGTACCCCCCTCTAGGGGGCTGGTTCTGCGAGGTTGGCCTGTGTCTCACCGCGCTCTCCATCTGCCCTCCTGTCAGGGCATCCTCCGCTCGGGCCTGGAGGAGGTGAGGCAGTTCTTTACCCTCAACGGCTCCTGCCGCCTTCCGCTCAGCCCCAGTCTGCTGGTCAAGGGCATCGTGCCCAGGGTGAGTGACTGGTGGGGAGGGCTCTGTGGAGGCAAGGTCCTCACTGACCACCTGGCTCTGAGAGACAGGAGGGAGAAAGGCATGGCTGGGCCTCTTCCCAGCCCTGACGTGTATGGACCTTTGCCTGACAGCTGTGGAGGGTGGAGGAACTGGGTTGGGGGCTGGGTAGGTGCCTCTCCCCGTGCTGTTGGGATGCAATCCGGAGCGGTGGTGGTGATCGCAGCTCTCAGCTGCCATCTGCTGTGCACGCCCGTGCCCGCACTGGTCTGAGTGCTTTATGCTGGCTATCACGTTCATCCCCACAACTCTGATGAAGTTGGTATTGTGAGCCCGTTTACAGAGGAGTCACCTGAGGGACTGGTGACTTGTCAGAAGTCACACAGCTAGTGAGCTGTGTGCAGAATAAATCGAAGGGATGGGAGACCAGATGCCAGAGCTGAGGTTGCCAACAGCAGAGTGGGTGACAGCAGTGGGGAGGGAAGGAAGGAAGGAATGTGGGCTCCTGAGAAATCTGGAAGAAACAGCGAGCAGCTGGACTGGCAGCAGCTTGAGCGAAGGTTGAGAGGCCACGTTCCTTCCTGGGTGTGGGCCAGCCTGACCCTCATTGCTACCCTCTCTACTGTGGCAGGACTGTTCCTACTTCAACTCCAATGCTGTCCCCCTCAAGCTCTCCTTCCAGAATGTGGATCCGCTGGGTGAGAACATCCGTGTCATCTTCAAGGTGAGGACACTTCACTCAAGCCTGGTGGGACGAAGGTGGCAGAGAGAAGGGGAGGAGGGAGCCTGAGTGTGGCAGAAACAGTTCTCTTCCCACTGTTCCACGATGCCAGTTTACAATGTGAAAGACATCAGGTGAACCAGGAAACAGACTAACTCTGCATGGCCCCAGAGCGCTACGAGCAGAGTGTAGGAGGTGTAGGGAGGCAACTGACAGCTCAATACATGGAAGCGTTTTCTAGGGGGCAGACCTGCCCAACAAGGACATGGATAAGATGGTGATCTGCTTCTCCCTGGGGATGTTCAAGCAGAAGCTGAATGACTACACGGCAGCCATGTTGAAGAGGAAATTAAGATATCAGGTGTAGGTTGGACTTACGAACCCTGAGATCCTTTCTAGCTGATACATCCGTGATCCTGAGAAGTAAATGATAGTCTCAGAGTATATAATCTTTTGGGGGAAAGGAAATGCACGTATGTGACTTAGTAACTGATAATATACATTTGCTGTGTGTACATTGCAAACCCAAGGTATAAATGCTCAAGTTTAAAAAAACGTTGATGGTCAGAAGGCCTGCACGAAGAGTAGGAACTTGAATTCAATTCACATGGAGCTGTGGGGTTGAGGGATGAGCTGGAACCCCACATGAACAATTGTGGTTACTGGCCCACCTCTGTTTGTTTGACCTGGTGTGAGCTGAGTAAGTGGCCAGAGGTGTGAGGTGGGGGAACTGGGTCATCACTTGTCGCTGTAGTTTGGGGCAGGGTTGCCCTCCTGGGAGATGTGGGAGCCGGGGGAGACGGGTCCTGGTCACTGTCTTCTTCCCTGCAGTGCGGGGATGACCTTCGCCAGGACATGCTAACCCTGCAGATGATTCGCATCATGAGCAAGATCTGGGTCCAGGAGGGGCTGGACATGCGCATGGTCATCTTCCGCTGCTTCTCCACTGGCCGGGGGAGAGGTCAGTTGGGCGTGGGTGGGGCTGCGCATAGGCGGCTGGTGTGGAGGGCACCCTTGCTCACTGCCTCTGCCTATTCGCCAACGTGAGCTGTGTACTTCTCCAGAAAAACAAAACGGGCAAGAGCATTTCATTAGAAGCTATAGCACGGCCTTAAAAAAAAGAAGGCAGGGGAGAGAGACTTATAAAATAAAACAGACTTGGAGACATAACAACCAACATACTTTGTAGACTTTGGATCCCGATTCAAACAAACCAATTGTAAAAAGATATTTTTTGAGACAAATGGGGGAAATTTAAATATAGACTGGGTTAGATTGGATCAGATTAGAGAATGACTTAATTTTTTGGATATGATAATGGCATGGTGGTTGCGTCCTTGTTAGTTGTCCTTGAAATATTCAGAGTGAAGTGACAAGTCTGGGATTTCCTTTCAAACACTCCAGCCAGCAGGGAGAAGCAGGATTGGTGAGTGAAATAGATGAAACAAGATTAGCAAAATGTTGATAATTTTTGAAACTGGGTGATGGTTATGTGTGAATTCGTGACCATTAGCATTCATGAATCTGTGTTCTCTTTATTCTTATACGTATTGGAAAATTCCCATAGTCGAAGTTAAAAATGAAAAAGGAGTAGCGCCTGTGAACAGGGAAGACCAAGGACCCCCTCATATTGTGGAATCTGAGGCCTGAGCAGTGGCCTTCCTTTCTACCGTTGTCCTTTCCCCTTGTTATCGGACTTTGTGCAAATGTCCTAGAGCTGAATTTAGACGGAAGCATCCAGCAAAGCTCTCATAGTCCTCCCCCGACAGTGCCCTCTCTCTGCTCTGGAGTGACCCCAGTGCCTCCTCTCCCAGGGATGGTGGAGATGATCCCCAATGCTGAGACCCTGCGCAAGATCCAGGTGGAGCACGGGGTGACCGGCTCGTTCAAGGACCGGCCCCTGGCTGACTGGCTGCAGAAACACAACCCTGGGGAGGAGGAGTATGAGAAGGTAGGATGGGGGGCGAGGTCGGGCCTGACGCTGCAATTGCTGCGTTACCGTGAGACCTGCCTGTGCACAGCGAGGACAGCTCAGCTGTGTTGGGAGGAATAAACCACCCTCGGTTGACGATGCCTCCTGACATCTAGGGCTGGCTCAAATGAGTGTTGTAAGCAGACTGGGAAAATTCCTTGGGAGCTGCTCAGGGAGCTTCACTGAGTTCCCCTGGCAGATGGAGTTTTGGAGGAGGGGGACCAACTTTTGAGAAGCTGTGTGGTGTCCCTCCTAATCGTGGGTCCTGTCCAGTTCCTCCTTTGCCCTTAGAGGGCTTCCGTGGTTCATTGAGGAACAAGGGTTGGTTGGAAGAGTCTTTAGAGATCGTTTTAATTCAACCCTTCTTTTCGTAGATGTGAATTAGGAGTCACTCAGTTGTTCCTAGTTATGGAGCTGGTTTATGGAGATGCTGTAACTGGAAGCCAGGATCCAGGTTAGATATGAGCTGGAGATGCAGGAAAGGGGCCTGACCTGGTGCTCAGGTGAAGCTTTAGTGGGTGGTAGGGCCTTGGTGGCCTGCTGTGGTCCATAGTCTAGTCTCTGGGATAATGAAGTTTAGGGGAGAGAACAATTCACAGTATTCAAACTCATAAGAGACTGAGTATATGCCAGAGTGCTTATTTATATAATTTAACTTCCAGGGCGTCCAAATACTAATTTATATTGATCAATGCATTTTATCCCCAAGGGAAACCTACGTGGACAGCTAAATTATAATCAGAATGTTGTTTAGTGAACATCTAATGAGATGATCTTAAATGGCCTTAAATGTTTGTGTCCCCAGGGTATAATTCCTGGCCTGCTGTGCTCTGTTTGCATTCTCCTTGTGCCAGCTCATCATCCCTTATTACTTTAACTACCACCCATTTGCTGCTGCCTTCCAAAGGCATTCTTCTAACCCGCTTCCGTCCCTCTAGCTTCGTACTCTGCGGCCACCTGCTTGCTGGCCGTCTCTTGTGTTGCAGCCATACCTCAAACTCGGTTTAGTGGTGCGTCACTCAGCAATGGACACTTTCTGAGAAATGCGTCGTCATGTGATTTCGTTGTTGTGTGACTATCACAGAGTGCACTTATACAAACCTACATGGTGTAGTTGACTACACACCTAGGCTATGTGGTACTAATTTTACAGGGCCACCGTCGTATATGCTGTCTGTTGTTGACTGAAACGTCATTACGCAATGCCTGACTGTATAGGCAAAACCAAGCTTTCTGTCTCTCCTCCTCCTCTTCAGACCCGCTTTTTGTGAGTTTCCTATCAGTAAGTGGTTCGACTCTGTGCAGTCACTCAAGACAGAGCCCTGAGTCTTCACACTTCCTCCTGCCTCCCCTCTCCTGTGCCCAGCCTTGTTGATTCTTCTTCCCAAGTATCTCTCAGATCTGCCCTCTTCTTTCCATTTCTTTACGCTATTTGCTGTCTGTCCCCTGAACCACGGGAATGTTTCTCCTCTCTTTGCCAACCTCTTCTTGATTCAAAGTTTTTTAATGAAGTGCGAATCACTCACGTCACTCCTTTGCTCTGAGTTCTTCAAAGGCTCCCTGTGTCCTAAAAGATAAGTCCAACATCCATAGTATTTGATGCAAGGGCTTTTGTAAGCCAGCCCTGCCTCCCCTGTAGTCCCATCTGCTGCCCCTCCCCATCTTGTGGTAGCTTACACTCCAGCTTAGGGGGCTGCTTGCATTTCCTTGACACCCTTAGATGAGAATATTCCCTTTGCCTGGAAAGCCATTTCTTCCCTTTCCCATCCCTCAAAACCCACCTCCTCTATGTTGCAAATTTTAGGTATTCTACCCTAGAGAGGAGTAATATAGATTCTTTCCTCCCTCCCACCCACCCCATATGCTATTTATATAAACATGTATTTTTCAGTTGTTAAACAGCCACTATGCAGAGGCACTGTGCTTGTTGCTGGAATTATGATTACTTCCTGCCCGTGTAATAAACAGTCAAAATATATATGATAGATGTATGTACAACAAGAGTACAAGCACACACAGAGGCTAACTCTGCTTCTTTGGATTTAATATCAACCCTTCAGAGGTAGCTGCTCGGCTCTCCTAGCCTTTCTGCTGGAATAATGCTGGTAGTTTCTTGTGTTGACTTCCGCTGGGAAAGAACTAGAGACGTTTGTCTCTTGGCAAAGAGAACACCTCATATCCTGCCAGTGAGACTCGGTAAATCAGGGGCGCCCTTTATACGGTGAGCCCTCCTGTCAGTGAGCAGCCACACCCTCATAGTTCATGTGATGAGGCTTCAGTCATTTACCTGGGCACACAGGTGTTCTGTGAGTCAAAACAGGATGCATTTCAGATGGGAAGAATATCTGTAACAGGAAGACAGATTGACGGAGATGAAGGTGAAGACTGGAGTTGATAGTACTCCTTAGTGAGTGGCTTCTTTTCATTCATTATTTCCCTTCCACAGAAATCGTCTTTTTCTTCCAGAAGATGCATTCTGTGGTTTCTTTACAACCTTTCTTTTCTTAGTTTCCTATGAATTAGTCATCTGGTTTAATTCGACAAGCAGCTGGGGGGTTTCCGTGTGTAGCTAGTTTTGAAATAGACCTTGTGGACAGCCAAGAAGCCACTGGGAGAGAAGATCCTGGACCCTGGGGGAGTGAAAAGACTAAGCCGGGAGTGGATGGTGGTGGCAGCGGGCTGTAGGGGCTCAGTGAGGGAGGAGTCAGTGTGAACTGGGAAGTCTGGGACTCAGGAAGTCGGGGAAGGATGGGGGAAATGTGCAGAGGGAGGCGGGGAGGGCACACATTCTACATCTGGGACGCTTTCTCTCACTCCCGGCTGTGTACATTCCTGGTTGGCTGTGATAGTTGTTGCCTTCGGCTGACGAGTCGTTCCTAGTTCTTGGGAAGTTCATAAAGCTCACAAAGACAATTTAGAGGGTGAAAGATGTCCACTTACTAATTCCACTTATGCTTGCTCCCTGGAAAGGCAGATAAGGGGACAGATGTTGACCAGATAAAACAAGGTTGATCCCCCCTCCCCCCATACACTCAGAAATAGCTCTAACATCTTGCCGACTGGAGACGTCTGATTTTCAAGCGTAAAACACTCCCTAGAAGTGTTAGGCTGCCTCAGTTCTCCTTTGGAGTGTAGTGACTTGAATTAGATTAGCATTTAGCTGTTACCAAGGACACTGGGCACAGGCGGGCGCTGTATTTGGGGCAGGGAGCAGGATGGAAGAACTCTGAGCGGGGTCAGGAAGGGGCCCGTTAAGTCAGCTGCCTCAGCGCTGTGCCTCAGTTAAGATGGTCACAACCAGTTGGGAAGGTTGTAAACGTCAGTCTTCCCGTCTGTTAAGGTCTCTTCAGTCTGGACTGGTGAAATCTGGGCTCCCAGATGAGTTCACTGTCTTTCCAACCAATCTTCCAAGGAGAAAGAAAGGCTCAGAGGAAGATGAGTTGCAGAGAAAGCGGTGGAGATATACATAGAAGCCTTCCGTCTCCTTACAGCCTGTCAGATAGAAGAGGTGTTCCCACGTGCAGCAGTGTGTGCATTAGTGCGTGAGGGAGGCTGAGCAGGCAGATGTGAGGTGCTGTTGGGCTCACGAGACAGAGGCCGGAGCTGGCTGGATTCAGTTTGGCTGTGGCCCCTGGAGTCCCTCCAAGCCAGCCTTATGTTCTCTCCTCCCAACCGCCTCCCCCCTCCCAGGCTGTGGAGAACTTCATCTATTCCTGTGCTGGCTGTTGCGTGGCCACATACGTCTTGGGCATCTGTGACCGACACAACGACAACATCATGCTGAAGACCACCGGCCACATGTTCCACATAGATTTTGGCCGCTTCCTGGGTCACGCCCAGATGTTTGGCAACATCAAGCGGTAAGTGGTCGCCTGAAGACAGGATGTGTGTAGGGCAGGGAGGTCAGCAGAAGTGGTTCAGAGCTGGAGCCCAAGCCCGAGATGGAAGGTGCTGCACTTCACCGTGTGGTCCCTGGGCTGAGCTCTTTGGAGAAGAGAAAACTGATGAAGTCAAGGTCTTGCCGAGCCATGCAGAAGAAGGCGAGGAGCTGCTGTCCCCTCCCTGCTGAGGACTGAGCAAAGGAAATGAGCCGGAACCACAGCAGAGGGCATACAGTTAGATTACCCAGGAAAAATGTTGTAGCTCACAGGCAAGGAACCAGTGAAGGTTGTGGAATACCTTGTCTCGGGGGATCTTTTAAGACTGAGGTAGGAAAAGAAGGCAAAGTTAGAGGAGCCCGATCTCTTCAGGTTCTCACAGGTGATGAGGGATGAGGGGGACCATCCCCTCATGCAGCCCACGAATGGGCTTCCTCCTCCATGTTGACCTTCTGCCTGTGTGTTCTCTTTGGCCCAGGGACCGTGCCCCCTTTGTCTTCACCTCGGACATGGCGTATGTCATCAACGGGGGTGACAAGCCTTCCAGCCGCTTCCATGATTTTGTTGACCTTTGCTGCCAAGCCTACAACCTCATTCGCAAGCACACCCACCTCTTCCTCAACCTTCTGGGCCTGGTGAGGAGCTCCATCCCTTTCTGAACCCCTCCTTCTCATCTGGCACCATTTTTAAGACTCCCTGTCTTGCTTCAAAGGATTTCAGGAGATCGGCTTCCCTGAGCCCTCGATAAAAGCAGGGCCCAGACACTTGGAATGGTGGTGCCTGTGCAGGTGTCTGACTTCCTGCTGCAGCCCCTCCACTTCTGTGGCCCTCCCGCCCCTGCCCACAGCATCTGCCTGCCACCCTCTGTGAGGGTTGGGGAGCACAGCTAGAGAAAATCTTGCCTATGGCAGAGAAGAAACAAGAATTCCTAGTTGGTACAAGCATCCTCTCTCCTGTGTTCTCCTTCTAGATGTTGTCCTGTGGGATCCCTGAGCTCTCAGACCTGGAGGACCTCAAATATGTGTATGATGCCCTGAGGCCTCAGGACACAGAGGCCAATGCCACTACCTACTTCACTAGGTAACACATTGTGCACAAAACGGTACTGCCCGCCCTGACTACACAACTTCCAGGCTGCCTGATTGGGAGGAGCGGGGCTCGGGAAACAGGGAGGGCTTAGCTCACATGGCAGAGCCTAAAACTGACAGCAGGGCCTGTTGTTCAGCAGAGGTTAGAACTGACAGCAGAGCCTAGAACTGACAGCAGGGCTGGTTGCCCAGCAGAGCCTGTTGCCCAGCTCTGCCTCTGACTTAGGTCAATCGCTTTGCTTCTCTCAGACTCAGTTTCCCGCCTGCACTCTGGTGCTGACTTTGTATGTGGAGGTGCTATAGTCCCTCTCTTACTTGCATTCTCCTCAGGTCTCGGTCGAAGACTTTGTCTACGGGGCAATGTATAATGTGGATTTTCAATAGTTTCTAGCTCCCTGGATCAGAGCCTTCCCCCTCGTCAAAACATGGAATTCCACAGTTCCATTTTCCCATATTTCACAACATTTTTAGGCACACTGTGTATGAAAGCAGGGAGGTGTCTATGTACTATTATCTACAGTTTTGTCCATGTAGATGATGTCTCTGTTTTATTGCTCACTCTTTTTGGAACTTAGCCAACTAAATTTTTTATTTGGGTCTAATGTAGAACTTTCCTTTTGAACTAAAATCTCTAGATTGAGTAGTGCTCGGTGAGGCTCCATTGTACTGAACCCTGAAATTCAGTTTGACGACAATATTTAGACATTCACAGGGTGACCCTCTGTGGAGTCCCTCATTCTTCCCTACCTTGGTTTAACTGTCTTTGGTTCAGGTGGGCATTGACTCAAGGATTCACAGGAATAAATGCATGTAGCTCATTGTCTCCATCGTGCTTTCTGAGGGTGTTACACAGGGAACATGGTTTCATCTGAGCTGAGTGCTCGTCTCAGGTGTCAGAGGATATTCCTTGAGATAGCTCTGTCCAGGCAGTGGGGACTTGGGTCTGCGGTTTACATCCTTTTCTTCCCATCCTCCTGCTCCAACAGGTTGATTGAGTCCAGCCTGGGCAGTGTGGCCACAAAGCTCAATTTTTTCATCCATAACCTGGCCCAGATGAAATTCACAGGCTCAGATGACCGACTGGCCCTTTCCTTTGCTCCCCGAACATATACTGTCAAGAGCTCCGGTCGCATCAGTGATGTTTTTCTCTGCCGCCATGAGAAGATCTTTTACCCCAACAAGGGCTACGTAAGTGTTTTCTCCAATCTGACCCTCTCTTGGTCCCCGTTGCCCCCAGCTTATTGGGGTTCTGACTTTCCTCACATCGACACCGTGGATACTGGAATTGACTGAGCATCCTGTGCTGGGACCAATCGCAGACCACTTCCCTCTTCCTTGCCCAAGTGGCCTGCCTAGAACCAGGGCTGAATTGGATGATTATGCCTCTGAGATGAGGGTCCTGCGCACAGACTCCCGCATATGTGCTGTCTGTCCTGCACATTTCCTATGGAGACACTGTGCCGTCTTCCTTCTGAAAGGTGTACCCCCAACACACACACACTCTCTCACACACTTCTGTTCCCTTACCTGTCCCCTTCATTGGGTGCGGAGGGCTTGGCAGGTATTCTCTAAGACGTGGACCTTTGCAGGTTTACGTGGTAAAGGTGATGCGAGAGAATGCTCATGAGGCCACTTACATCCAGCGGACATTTGAGGAGTTCCAGGAGTTACACAATAAGCTGCGGCTGCTCTTCCCTTCTTCCTTCTTGCCCAGGTAGCTGCCCCTTTACTCTCTGAACAGGGGTACTGAGCAGGTGGACGGCGTTGGGTTAGGCAGGACTGCAGCAGTGAGAAACTACCATTTTAGAGTTGAGATCTTCCTACTTTTCTTGGCCTGGTAACAAGTTTGATGACAGGTCCTCCTGCTGCTGGCTGAGCTCTCCCGCACCCCTGGGAGGCCTCACTCCAGCCCTGAAACAGCTTGGGCCCACCTGCCGGGAGAGCAAACTGGATTGCGGGCAGGAACTGACTGAATCGGGTGGTTTCAAAGTTTCTGACTTTTTAAAGAGTAAAAGTATTGTTCAGATAGATAAACAAAATGTGGTATATACATGCATTGGAATATTATTAAGCCCCAAAAGGAAGGAAATTCTGGCACATGCTACAACATGGATGAACCTTGAGGACCTTATACTAAGTGAAATAAGCCAGTCACAAAAAGACAAATACTGTCTGATATCCCACTTCTACGATGTCCCTAGAGCAGTCAAATCCATAGAGACAGAAAGTAGAATGGTGGGTGCCGGGGGCTGGAGGAGGAGGAGGGGAGTCGTCGTTTGGTGGGGACAGAGTTCCAGTTTTGCAAAGGGAACAGAGCTCTGGAGACGGATGATGCTGATGGTTGCACAACAGTGTAAATGTACTAAATGCCACTCAACCGTACACCTAAAAATGGTTAAGATGGTAAATTTTATGTTATGTGTATTTCACCACAATTTTTAAAAAAATTATTTTCCAGGGCACTTCTCGGGAGCCCTAAGACTCTTCCCAATAGTTGGGTTTTGTTGTCTGGAATCCTTGGAACTGTTGAGGGTGAAATGCGCGTGTGTCCTTGGCACAAGCCTGGGGGCGCTGCGGGGAATGGAGTAGGGTGAGGGTCCCTGGGAAAGGTGGCTGGTGAGAAGTGGGGGGTCATGTGCAAAGGAAATGTGACAAGAGCCCGTTGGTCTTAAGTTTCTTTGCCGCCTTCCTCTCTCCCCAGCTTCCCCAGCCGCTTTGTGATTGGGCGCTCCCGGGGAGAGGCGGCGGCCGAGCGTCGGAGGGAGGAGTTAAACGGCTACATCTGGCACTTGATCCACGCAGCCCCTGAGGTGGCGGAGGTGGGTGGGCCACCTCTGCTCCTGGCTGTTCTGGGTGGGCGCTGCTGCAGGGTGGGAGGGTCTGGGGCGGTGGAATCAGGGAGGCCCCAGGCTCTTCTGGGTCTGACTCTGAAGGAGCTGAGTGGTCTGGCACCAGCCCGGTGGGGTCGGGCACATGACTGCAGCGAAGCAGAGGTTTGCCCCGGGCGCTCGGGGAGGGCGCACTGTCGCTGAGATCCCAGAGGGCTTGCAGTGATGAAAACCTGAGGAAGGAAGGGTGCTTGAGGAAAAGGAGCTTTTTGAGCAGGTTGAGTATGTATCCACTAAGATTTCTTTGTTTTAAACAAATGGTACTGTAATTTGGTGTTATAATGGGCATAAAAACAAATCTAGCTGTTAGGAGTCCTGTCACCCTAACAGATCGTCTAACCCCATTTCCAGGTTTCCTTCCTATTTGTCCATTTGCAAATGTGACTTTTACAGTTTTGTAGTGGTCATAAATATAATTTTATATTGTTTTTTTACTTAGCATTTACAGTAAGCATAACTTTGGATATCCATACCAAATTAATACATCGGCTCGCAATACTATAATCTAACCATTTGCTTCGTGAAAGACATTTACATATGTCCATTTTTTTCATATTAATACTAGGGTGGATATTTTCACACATTTTAGTTTCTGTTTTCCCCAATTACTTGGGAAATATTCTCAAGAGCAGGATTCATGGCCTTGTCCATGGCCGGCTTAGGCATTTCTCTGTGCTTGAGGGGGTAGTGTGTGTGTCGATAGTAGGGGGAGTAGCAGAAAAGAACAGACTGATTTGACCTGATGTGACCTAGTTTTATTTTTTCTTTTTTAAAAAACCTTTTATTAGAACTTTCAAACATACAGAAAAGTAGAGAAACAGTATAATGAGTGCCTATATGTTCATTACCTGAAGAGTTAATATTTTGCCATATAAGCATCATCTGTTGTATGAAGTATTTTAAAATCAATCACAGACATCATGACATTCCACCCCTCATACTCACTAAGCATCTCTAAAAATAAGGACGTGTTGTTATATAACTAGAGTGTCATTATATCATCCAGTACATTAGAGTTGGTTTGTTTGAGCCAACTGAGAACTGCACATTACATTTGGTTGTTGCATCAGTCTCTTTTAATCTGAACAGTCACTTTCCCAATGAAAAAAATGGAGCCATTGTCTTATTGAAGAACAGCCTGTTTTCTGATTCCATTCCAGTGTGATTTGGTGTGCACCTTCTTCCACCCACTGCCCCGCGATGAGAAGGCTGCGGGCACCAGCCCAGCTCCCAAGTCCTCAGGTACAGGCCTCCTCTGCGACACTTCCGCCAGCCCCGCCGAACCATTTCCAAGGGCAGTTTCTCTTGCCTCCACCTCTTCCTAATGCTCTTGCCTTGACTTGTCTCTGTTCTTTTGCTTTCTGGCTGTGGAATCTGGTTTCCCACTCAGGCTGGGGAGTCCATAGCTCCTTGAGCAGGTTTCCCAGGGACTGGATATTCAGTTGGTGATTACATACTCAAATTGGATAGAACCATCCCAACCCAGCTCTAAAGCATGTTCACAGACCCCACTTGGCAGATCCGCCATGGAGTGTCAGGAACCTGACATGGAGATACTGGGGGAGGTCAGAGGAAAACACACACACACCTGCCTGGTGCCAGATGGGGACAGGGGCTTCATGACCTTTCTTGGTTTCCTTCATCCCTGCAGATGGCTCATGGGCGCGGCCCATCGGGAAGGTAGGAGGGGAGGTGAAGCTGTCAATCTCCTACAAAAACAATAAACTTTTCATCATGGTGATGCATATTCGGGGCTTGGTAAGTGCATGTGCAGTCCTTCTTTGGTTCTTTATCTTCTGGTACTTTTCTGACTGGTCAGACCTTCTCTGTCCCCCTCTGATGAGAGTAACCACTCTCATCATTGGGGGGGAGGAAAATGCACCCCCTACTCCACTTGTGTTCTTATGACTGGATTAATAAAACTGACACAAGACCATGGGGCTGGCCTAGTGGCGAGCGGTTAAGTGTGCACGTTCCACTTGAGTGGCCCAGGGTTGGCCAGTTCAGATCCCGGGTGCAGACATGGCACCGCTTGGTAAGCCATGCTGTGGTAGGCATCCCACATAGAAAGTAGAGGAAGATGAGCACGGATGTTAGCTCAGGGCCAGTCTTCCTCAGCAAAAAGAGGAGGATTGGCAGCAGTTAGCTCAGGGCTAATCTTCCTCAAAAAAAAAAAAAAAGCCCTGACACAAGACCAGATTAACAGGAGAGAAACCAATTCAGTATTTGTGCACAGGAGATCATAGAAAAAATGATGCTCAGAGAGTGAACAAAGCAGGCAGTTTATATATAATATTTTTATACAAAGAGACAATAAATTTGTGAGGATTTGACAGGATAAAGGAACTTTGGGGTATGTAATTAGCAGTTTAAGCAGAGTTTAGGCTTGAGATAGTAAATTAGTAAAAGTAACAAGGTTAGTTTTTACAGGCTTTTCAGCCCTGAATTTCCTTGCTGTGGTGACAAGGATGTCTCTATCTTTCCCCTTTCACATGGGAGATTTACTTTCTGCTTTCAAGGGGAACAGACAGGAGGGTTAAAACTTTGTCAAAACAAGTAACTTTAACTCAAAATAATCATTATGCCATTGTGGGCTATTTTGGTGCGGCCTGCCCTGGGCCCCAGCACCTCAGAGGTTCCTGAGTGCCCGCCAGTGGGCCTGCTGCCATGCCAGGCCTATGGTATGGCCCAGTGTTGCTAGACCCAGCTTCTTGCTCCCTGTTGCCCTTGGTGAGTAGCCTAATTACTCTGGGCCTCATTAAAATGGGGAAAACGTTAGGGTTTGCCTCAAAGGGTTGTTACGGGGTGAAATGTCGTTACACAGAAAACCACGAGGCGCTTGTGCTAAAGCCATAATACCAAACCTAGATTAATAGCTAACCTAGTTGTGGTCCTCAGCCCCGCCCAGAAATATCATCTTAATCCACCCATCTGGAATTTTCTAGTCAGCGCCCGTGAGGTAACCTGTCCGTAGGCCTCTCCATCCCAGAGGAGGAAGAGGCCATCTACCTGATTAAACCCTTGCTGTTCCCTCCCCCAAAAAGCAGATGTCCTGTTCTGAAAATATTCCTTTCTTTTCTTTTGCTGCTAGCTCTGTTGCCCCACCCTCCTTCCTATAAAAACCTTCTTTTTATGTAATTCCTCAGAGTATCTCTGTGTTTGCTGGATGGATGCTGCCCGATTCATGTGTCACCTAATAAAGCCAAGGAGATCTTCGAATTTCCTCTGTTGGGTTTTGTTGTTTAACATTGTGTTAAAAAGAAACAACAGGCTCCAAGTGTCGTCACTTGTGTGAGCCCCACGGCTTAATGGAGTGGCACTTGAAACCAGTCAGGCTGGAGTTTCCTGATCAACCCCAGCTGAGGTGGTCTGCCTGCCAGGACCCTGGCCTTCCCCTAAAGGAAGGTGACCTGGCCTGAAATAATCCACTCTTTTCACTTCTTTGTCCTACCCTCTTTCTGCCTATAAAAACCTTCCATGTTGTACAGTCCCTCGGAGCTTCTGTCTGTCTGCTGGGTGAGATTCTGCCTGAGTCATGATCCCACTGAATAAAGCCGTAGATGTTTAAATTTACTCTGTTGAATTTTTGTTCTTTAACAAATGAGATAATGCCTGTGGAGCAGTTAACATAGTGCCTGGCATTATTATTGCGGTGATTGTGGTGATTCTTACAAGGGAGAGGCCAAGGGGCTCATTACTTGTTCTTGTTATGGAGATAAGGCAGCCCCATGACAGTGTCATCAAGGCAGCATCTACTTACTAAGCTTTTGGTGTGACTCTAAGAACAATGTGAGTAGAAGGGGAAGGGATCTTTTATTGAATACCTGCAGTGTGCTGGACTTCTGTAGTTGGGGCATTGGTAGGAGCATGTGGAAGAAGGAGCATGAGTTTTGGAATCAGAAACCTGGGTTTCACTCTTACAACAGCATTCATTCATTCATTCATTCAACAAATGTTTGTCAGGTGTCTGCTGTGCAGGCGCTGATACAGGGGTAAACAAGCCCTGCCCTTGGGGCTTCCATCCTAGGAGGAAGACAGATAAGCCAACCATGTGGCAGGTCAGGCAGTGGTAAGTGCTCTGATGCGAACTAAAGCAGAGACGGGAATCCTGGGGTGGAGCGAGGGCAGTGGCAGTTTGCAGAGTGGTCAGGGAAGCCCTCATTGAGGAGGAAGTGTTTGAGCAAAGATGGAAGGAGGTAAGAGAGGGAGGCATGAATATACACCTGAGGGAGGGTTGTTGCAGGAGGAGGGAGCAGTTCAGTCCAAAAGCCCTGAGTCGGAGCCTGCCTGGGCCACGTTGGGAACTGCAAGGGGCCGTTGCGGCTGAAGCCCGTGGAGCCAACAGCACAGAGGATGTGGAGGTCGGAGAGGGCACAGCGGACCAGAGCCTGGGTCCCACCATCGGGGCTGTGGACTGAGATGGGAGCCACTTGAGGGTTTTGAGCAGAGGCATGACAAGATCTAACTTAAGATTTAGAAGGACCCCGCCAGGTGAATCACTCATTGGCTGACCTTGAGCAAGCAACTTAATGTCTCTGACTCATTTCTCTCCTCTTAGAGGTTACTTGGATCAAATGAAAAAATAAACAAAGACATTGGGCATGGTGGAAGACGACGGTTCAGTCACGACATACCACATTACGGCATGCCTTGGGCAGTTGTATAGAAAGTACAGACTGGATGCAACAGGCAGTCTGACTGATGTTTTAGCAGGACACCTAGCATGATTATGATAGATAATTTCTATCAGAATGGAGTGCGCTGGGAAGCAGACAAATAAATGACTGCATTGCACGAAGCCAAGTGTGGGGGATGAGGGTCTGGATCAGAGTGTGATCACAGAAATGGTGACAGAGAGACAGAAGAATCTTCAGCTTTTTTATTGTCGTTTTATTGTAGCAGCTGCTCCAGGACGGGAATGACCCTGACCCCTATGTGAAGATTTATCTCCTTCCTGACCCTCAGAAAACCACTAAGAAGAAAACCAAAGTGGCCCGGAAAACCTGCAACCCCACCTACAATGAGATGGTGCGTGGGGCAGGGCTGGGGTCAGCACGCCATGCCTGCTTTTGTACATAAAACTGTGTCACAACGAGGCCACACCTATTCATTTCAGTACTGTTTGGGGCTGCTTGCTTGTGGCAGTGGCAGGGTTGAGTAGTTGTGACACAGACCAGGCTGTATGGCCTATAAAGCCTAAAATATTTCCTATCTGGCCCTTTACATGAAAAAGTTTGCCAACCTGCAGGTGGGGACTCTACAGCTGGGGCATGCCCTGGGCCCTGTCCTGTGGGGAGGAGGAGCCTGCTGGTCCCTTGCTGATGTGAGCAGTGGCCCCAATACAAAGCCCTCACCTGCTTGAGCTCTGAGCGAAGAGCGGAGTTCTTTCAAGCTTCCTTTGGGTGCTGTATGCCTTCTCAGCTCGCCAGCACTCTGTCTGGTTGGGGAGATAAAGTGGTCTTAGCCTCAGCCCGATCAAACCACCACACACTCAAGCATCTCCCTCCTCCGTGCTCCTCTGGACTCCTTACGACATTCCCTCTCACTGCTCCCCTCTCCTCCCGATCTGATCTGTGTTTGCAGCTGGTGTATGATGGGATCCCCAAGGGAGACCTGCAGCAGCGGGAGCTCCAGCTGAGTGTGCTGAGTGAGCAGGGACTCTGGGAGAACGTTCTCCTCGGGGAGGTGCGCATCCGCCTGCGAGAGCTGGACCTGGCCCAGGAGAAGGCTGGCTGGTTTGCACTGGGATCCCGGAGTCAGGAGACCTCGTGAGCCCAACCTGGGACTCCAGGCTGCTGGGGGAGCTGGGGGAGAAGCGGCTCCCTGCCTTGTGGAGGGGTGGGCCCTCGGCGGGCCTCCCTGCAGTCCGGTGGACCGGCCTGCGTGCTAGGCGTCAGGGAGGGTCCCTGCGCTCTGCCGTCCCCTCCCCTGCAGACGGAACTGGGGCTGGTTGTGATGAGCAGCCCTTGGAGGCTGTGAGGTTGCAGCGAAGTTTTAAGTTTACCTTGTGTCAAGGGAGCAATGCCTGCTTTGGGGGTGTGGGGTGGGCTGGGTGAAGTAGCATTTGGAGGGGGGTGGATATCTTTATTTTTATTTTTAAAAATGCAATAGTAACGTTGTCCTAACTGGACAGGAAGCCTTGTGAGAAGGGACGTACATCTATGCCTTAGCAGGCAGAAGAGGAAGACTTTGGAATTTTGTATGATTAAGGTTCTTATTGGACTTTTCACTAGATTTTTGTTTTTCTTCTGTCTATAGGAATTATTTGAGGAGGGGCCCAGTGGGTCCTCGCTTAGAGCCCTCCCTCTCTCAGGGCAGGTCGGGGAGGGACGGTGGGCTGCGTGTGCTGGACGAGGCCTGCACCGCCAGGCCTTTCTGATTTTGCCTCCAAAGGAGAGCGATGTGATACCTAGTGTGTGAGGAAGGGCCTTCTATGGGGGCTTCTGCAGAGGACCAGGATTCAGGGACGCGAGCTCTCAGGGGAGTCTCCTCTCGTCTTCCCCTACTTAGCTAGGACTCGCCCTGAATACTATCTTCTACCCTCTGTTCTCTCGGCCCTTCTGGGGACCATCTGGTCCCTGTGAATATGCTGGGGGTGCTTCCCCCATAGGTCTCTGCCTTCTTTTCTCTGGTGGGGATAAAATGCTGCCTCAGCCCTTAGATTTCCTTCGCCCGAGGGCACCTTGGCCCTGGGAGGGCCTCTAGGCTGCAGGTGCTATGTGGCCCCGGTCACCCACCATGCCACTTCTCTCTTTTGTGCTGCTTCTTTCCCAAACTCCACTTCTGTCACATTTTTTATAAGAATTTCCCTCATTCTATGGGGCCATAAACCTATTTAGTCTGGAGCCAAAGGGATGCCCTAACTGAAGGAAAGGTCGCATGGGCTGGGGGATCTGCCCAAACCATTTTTCCCATGATTCTCTTTGGTGGCGAGGAGCCTGGATCAGAGGTGCAGATCCCCTGGCACTGAGCGGGAGGGAGAGCCTGGGTCTCTTGCTCTTACTGTCTTCATTCCCTCCCAGATGGATCTGAAAGCACTCTCGTGCTTTACTCCAAAGGCTTGTCTTTGACAAAAGAGGGAGACCTTGAATGTGACGTTAACTTTTTAAACCAGAATTGGCCGATGTCCCCCATGGTTGGGGAACGGAGTTCAACAGGGATGCCCTGTGAATCGTCCCTCACTAGCTTCCTCCTCAGCTCCAGGGATCAGAAATTCCCCCTTTTGCTGATTCATTCCATAACTGGAGAAGGAAGCTCCATTCACTGAAGCCACAGGGCAGCAAGGAAGTTTAAACTTTTCTTTTAAGTTAAAAATGTCTAGGATACAGCTGGCAGCTGGGGGGAGGGGCTGGAGGGTGGGGAGAGGGGTGGAATTTCTCCAGGTGAATGGACCATACCTGCGTTACTGGCTTGTTGCCTGTAGCTCATTTTATTTTGACCCTCTGTGCCCTGATTAAAGAGGTATGTGTACTGTACCCACTTTCTCTAGAATTGTATTTTCTAATAAATGACATTTGAGAAAAACAACTATTGTTCTCAAGATTGGTTGGTGTTTAAATGTTTAGATTAAAATGTCTCATGTACAAGATGAAGACGGTAATGGTAGTGGTTTTGCCACGGGCCTTTCACATGCGATGGTGCACTGCACTGGAGCTTAGGTTTGTCAGCTGCATCTAGCCTCACGACGACGTGGTCAGGTGAGTAGCGTGACCCCCACTTTACTGGACGGAAGTGCAGAGAGAGGAAGGGACTTGCCTAAGGACACAGCCAGCCAGCCTTCCGTCTGGAATTTGAGCCCAGGTTGTTTGACTCCAAACCTTGTGCTCCTCCCCCTGGGCAAGGTTGAATAAGTCTCTGAAGTTGGTATAATATTTGTTAGTTTTCAGAGTGCTTTAATATAAACGATGTCAGTTTTCATTATAACTACTCTGGAAAGTAGATATGGTTCATTCATTCATCCTGCCAACAAATGTTTACTGTGCTTGCCAGTGCCCCCTGGTAGCATGCCTCCGTTCACGGAGAACACGGCCCTTGGAGGTGTGCCTGGGCCCTGCACCATCCTGGCTGAGGATTACTAAAATAAATTAAGACAATCCTCTCACTTCAGAAGCTCACTGCCTAGTGATATTTAACTACCCCACTTCATGAGGGGAAATGGAACCTCTGAGATGCTCACGACCACTAAGTCGCTAGAGCAGAGCCATTGCCCTGAAACCGAAGCCCCCAAATGGAAGATGGAGGTGATATGACCCTGTTCAAACATTTTACCCAGAAGTTTTCCAGACTCCAATGGTGAGTTATATTTCATGCTGGGAAATTTTATGGAGCCTCCAAGGGACTTTGAGTTGTAGACTGTAGGAAGTGTTACCCATCTGCTCTGTTCCTAAGTGGTTTTGAGGTGTCACTGCAGTTCTGGACAAGTCCCAAAGGACCTCTGAAAAGTTAGAACTTGAATCTGGCAAGAGTCTTTGTTAAGGAAATTTCTTGGCCAAATAGGGTAGAAATCTGAACCACCCTGAGGGAGTGGGAATGAGAGAGCTGGGGAGTGGGGGGACGAGGGGCTGCCCAGGGAGAAGAGAAACAAGAGCCCAGGAGGCCGGGTTTTCAGAGTTCAAAAAGAAGTGGCAAAAATGAAGTAACCCAACTTGCTGGGATTTGGGAGCAAAGGTTAGGTTGGACTGGAAAGGTCAAAAGTGAGGCAGCCTCTTAAGTTGGGAGGTCATTCTGGTGGCGGGACTTGTGTGAGATGTCTGGTTGACAGACAACACTGGTGGCCTTCTCTGAGTCAGGCGAGGCACCAGGCACTGTGGCTACTAAGATGACAAAGGTGTAGATGGTGTCCTCAACGAACTCACAGTGTAGCTAGGGAGGCGGACATGGGAACCAGTAATGGCTGTGCAGTGTCTCAGGGACATGGTGGAAAAGGGGCGGGCAGGGCCGGCAGAGTGGGCTTCCCGAGGGGATGTTGGAACTGAGTTTTAAGGTCCACCAGAACTCTGAGCTTTGTTCTTAGTGTGATGGGGATGTGAAGCTTCTGAGAAAGGGCCTGCAGGGCCCCAGTGTGTTTGCAAAGACCCCACTGGCTGCTGTCTGAAGCAGGAAGGAGGCAGGAGAGAAGGCCACGGCCGTAGTCTACAAGGGAAGTGATAGTGCTTGGGGATGATGAAAGCGGTCAAAGTTGGATGCATTTTGAATTCTGGATTTGCTGATGGATTGGCTGTGTTGTTGAGGGAAAGAGGAGTTGAGGCTGACTCCTAAGTTTGAGCCCTTGACAAACGGGTGAAGAAGACTGGGGTGCTGCGGGGATGGGAAGATGGGCTGGGTGAGGCTGAATTAAGAGTCCTCTTCCGATCATAAGTTTGAGATGTCTGGTCCACATCCAAGTGGAGAAGTAGGAGAATGGAATCTGAAGCCCAAGGGAGAGGTCAGTGTGGAGTTCAGACCCAGAAGTCATCAGCATTTAGGAGGCGTTTAATGCCGTGGAACTGGATGAGAAAACCCAGATTTGAGAGACTAGTAAGAAAGACATGGGTGGACTGAGCTCTGATGCAGGCCAACATTTAGAAGAGGAAGAGCCACTGAGATTGTAGGTAAAGCAAGAGAATGGCGCCATGGGAGACTACAGAAAAGACATTGTCAATGTCCCAGAGCTGCTCTAACAAAGTACTGCAGACTGCGCGGCTTAGACAACAGAGATGGATTTGCTCACAGTCCTGGAGGCTGGAAGTCCAAGATCAAGCTGTTGGCAGAGTTGGTTCCTGCTGGGAGTTGAGGAGGATGTGTTGCCTGCCTCTCCCCTAGCTTCCGGTGGTTTGCTGGCGATCTGTGGCATTCCTTGCCTAGGAGATGCGTCACCTCATTCTCTGCCTTCATGTTCACCTGTGTTCTCTCTGTGTACGTGCACGTATGTCTATGTCCAAATTCCTCTTTGTATAAGGACATAGTCATATTGGATTAGGGCCCACCCTAATGACCTCATCTTAACCTGCAAAGACTATTTCCAAATAAGGTCACTTTCACAGCTGCTGGGGGGTTAGGACTTTAACATCTTTAGGGGAGCACAATTCAATCCACAGCAGTTAGAGAACACATTTGGCAAAATGTCCTTGGTGACCTTGTAAGAGCTGTTTGAATGAGTGGTGGGGATGAAAGTGACATTGGATTAAGTTAAAGAGAGAATAGGTGATGAGAACGTGGAGACTGCGGGCATAGACAGCTCTTGAGAAATTCTGTCGTAGTGGTGCAGAAACTTGGAGGGGCACCTGTCTAGGGAGCGTTTTTAAGTTAGGGGATACTGACCTATGTTGATGTGAGTGCTCTGGGAGCTTGAGAGAGAACAGTGTGTGTTACAGGAAGAAGACAAGGGAGGCCAGAATCCCTTGAGTAGACTTGAAGGAATTAGGACCCAGGACGCTTTTTCGCTTGTAATGGGATTGAAGGCAGAGCGTGCGGGTCCAGATGCAGGTAGTTTGGTGGGTTTGGTGGTGGAAAGATGGCATTGTTGAGGTTTAACTGTATCTATTTTCTCAATAAAGTATGAGTTGTGATCATAAGTGAAGAATGTGTGTTTATGGGAATGCTGGAAGTTTGAGTAAAGACACGTGAAACTGTGTCAGGGTGTAGAGGCAGAGCTGCCGTGGGACTAGCAGGAGTGCCTGGCGTGGATGGAATTTGTGATCACAAGTAGGGAGTGAGTGAGGCAACACGGCTGAGTGTTTTTCTCCACCAATGATTAGCTGCGAGGGTGCAGGCTCAGAATAGGTGGGTACTTGGGCTTAACTAGGGCTGGAGTTTTGCCAGAGAAGAATGCTAGTGTAGGAGGGGGCAAGTGAATGCAGGGTCTTTGCAAAGGGATTAATTTTAATACTGGATCCTGGGATTCCTGTTAGATTAAGAGGGTGAGGAATTACCCAAAGAAGTGGAAATAGCAATGGTCTGAGGTCTTGGGGGGTTAAGTCATTGACTAGGGTACCAGGGCAGGGTGCTGGAAGGAGAGGAGGTGGTAGCCAGAGAGTAGATACTTGGGAATAAGATTGTGGAGGTGGTACTGACTCTGAAAAATGAAGTAAAGCTATCAACCCCTTACCTCAGGCCCGGCAAAATCTTTTAAAATAAACGTAATTTACTGAGGTTTAAGTTCTCTTCTGCCAAAGTGCCAGTCAGCTTGCCAGTCCACGCACTTGTCTCCACCAGCACGCACACGGCCTCGGCAACGCATGGTTATCTCTGTGTCCAGGGCCTCCTCCGTCTGTCCCCAGGTGATAGCGGGCTGCAGGAGGTGGTTCACACTGTTTTCCTGTCGAGACTGACAAGGCAGTCACATATTCTTACAGCTTTCCCATACTTCATGACTGCATTTTTTCCCTTTTAGAAGGTAAGGAAAATAAGAATTATGTATCCAATGACTACATAGGGAAGGGGAGGCCCATTCAAGAAAGTTGTAAGAAAATTTTTTTTTTTGGCAGGGAAGGATTTGCCCTGAGCTAACATCTGTTGCCAATCTTCCTTTTTTTTTTTTTTTTTTTTGGCTTTTTCCTCCCCAAAGCCCCAGTACATGGTTGTATATACTAGTTGTAAGAAATTTTTTTCAGGGGCATGTGGTGTTAGTGACAAAGTTGCGAGTGGAATGCAAGAGACTTGGCCATACAGAAGATGCTATTGTTTTAAAGTATTATTATTTTAGGAAGATTAGCCCTGAGCTAACTACTGCCAGTCCTCCTCTTTTTGCTGAGGAAGCTTGGCTCTGAGCTAACATCCGTGCCCATCTTCCTCTACTTTATATGTGGGACACCTGCCACAGCATGGCATGCCAAGTAGTTCCATGTCCGCACCTGGGATTCGAAGCGGTGAACCCCAGGCCGCTGAGAAGCGGAATGTGCTAACTTAACTGCTGTGCCACCAGGCTCGCCCCGTAAAGTATTATTACTCTTCTATTCATTCAACATGTACAGATCACCTGTTATGCTCCAGTCAGCGTGCTAGGTGGGTGGTTCCTAAACTTTTTGTCTCAGGACCCCTTTACACTCTTAAAAATTATTGAGGACCCCAAAGAATTTTTGTTTATGTGGATTACATCTATCCATAGTTACTGTTGAAGAACTCAAAGCAGAAATTCAAAAATATTTATTCATTTAAAAATAATAAACCCATTACATGTTAAGATAAATGACATTTTTCATGAAAAATTATTTTTTAAAACAACAGTTTAGCAAGATGAGTGGCATTGTTTTGCATTTTTTCCAAATGTCTTTACTATCTGGCTTAATAGAAGACAGCTGAATCTCGTGTCCGCTTCTGCACTCACTCTGTTGCAGGCAGAGCACAGACCACGCGTCCTCTAGCTGATCATGTCCACCGTACCCTCATGAGAGGAAATTAGTTAAAAAGGAAAATAACAGCTTCGCAGTAGTATAAAAATATTTTTGACCTTGAGGACCTTCTGGAAGGGTCTTAAAAGGGGATCCCCACTGGTGCCTAGCCCACACTTTGGGAAGCACCGTAGTGGGGTACAGCCCACGAGGAGCTGAGACCAGCAGGAGAGAAGACTTACAGGAATACAGTGTCGTGTGTCAAGTGCTCTAATACAGTGTAATGATACAATCTTGACTCGGGGGGTTGGCAACGACTTCAAGGAGTTGACTTTTGAGTTGGCCCTTGAGGCATGAGTAGGTATGTAACAGGAGGAGAGGGTTTCTCAGCTGAGGAACAGCGTTGAGTAAAGGCAGGAAACCAGTGCGATGTCCCTGGAATATGACATGTGTGAACAGAAGTTACTGAAGAGAGGGCTGGCAAAGCGCAGGGGGAGGACAGGCTCCCAGGCCATGGGAGACAATTATTAGCTGATGAATAACAAATACGAGCTGATGTTTGCGCCCCTACGCTATCTAGGCTAGGCACTGTTTAGGAATTTAGTTCTCTCACCAACCCACTGAAAGACGAGACAGTAGCCTCACCTTACAGCCAAAGAAACTGAGGCTTTGAGTAGTTAATTTGCATTCTTGGATCTCTTTTCTATTATCAAACTGACTCCTATTATTTACACATTTTTCTCAAGTTCTTAGGATTGAAAATGAGCTATTTCCAAGGGATAAACCATACAAATTGAGGCCCTCTTAGTTCCTTAGAAGGAAGTTGGCTGTTCCTTGACCAGTCCCACGGAGCGGAGGAGCGCTGGCCGCCTTCTGCTCCCGAAGGATTTTCTCCTGTCCCCGAGCGCTCCCTCGGTCGCAGACACCTGACTTCAGGAATGTCATTAAACAGCTTTAGCAGAAATAGGGATGAACTAAGACCAAACTCACGAGAGAATCAAATACATCAGCTAAAATTATCAGACAGGGGCCAGCCTGTGGCGCCCTCAGCTTCGGGGGCCTAGGATTTCACTGGTTCGGATCCTGGGCGCCACGTGGCACCGCTCACCAGGCCATGCTGAGGCGGTCTCCCACATGCCACAACTAGAAGGACTCGCAACTAAAAATAGACAGCTGTGTACTGGGGGGCTTTGGGGAGAAAAAGGGAAAAAAATCTTAAAATTATCAGACAAAATTTTTTCAAAGGATAATGGTCTGTGCTTCCTTCTTTAGGTGTTGTACCCTGTGGTTCTGGGGGCTCAGATGTAAATATGATTTGAGCGTATTGCCTGCTGGGAGGCATTAAAGAAAGGAAACAGTTCTGGGGACTACGTTTCTTTCCTCTTCTGTAACTTCAGTTTGTCGCCCTGAAAGCGGACAGTCTGACGAGGACACCACCTGAGAAACACGAGCTCACATTTTCGTGGGGGATGCATGTGGGCCGGACGCGGAAAGGCTGAAAGCTAGATCCCGGGCACAGCTAAATAGCGATTTGGAAACCCTAAAACCGAGGGGGCAAGAATGCACAAGAATGGCTCATTTTCCACTCCTACCGTGCACTCCAGATTTTCCGTGCCTCAACGCCAGACGCTGTCCAACTCTTATTATACTAAAACCTCAGGTCGATGCTTTTCTTAGCGCTCGGCAGCACTGGAACCCCGAGGCACGCAAGAGTGCGGCAGGCGCATCCGGTCGAGCGCGCGGGACCACTCAAGGGCCCGGGGCGCCCGGCGGGCTTCCGGGCACGCCCCGCCTCGCCCGCCGCTCCGGCGCTGGGGGAGCGGCGTCTCCTAGGAGACCGCGGGACACGAGTGCGCAGGCGCGCAGCCGGCGGCTGATGCAACCGCGCGCGCAGCCGCCCGCGCAGGAAGGAGGCGGCCGCGCGGAGGAGCGGCAGGCCCTCCCGCCCCGTCAGTGACGCTCGGCGCCGGCTGGTGGCGTCGCCGGCCTGGCCCTGCGGCCATCTTGGGCTTCGCCTCTCCCCGCGCCCGCCCGCCCGCCCGCCGCCCTCCGGGCGCTGACTAGGACGCCTTCCCGCAGCATGGACGCCGCCGCGCCCGCGCCCGCCGTGCCGGCTCGGGGCCCGCCCGCCGCCGTCCTCTGCGGCTCCGCTGCTGGCCCGGGGAGCGGCCCGGGGCGCCCACGCCGCCGCTGCGCACGGCCGGCGCCGTCTAGGCCCCTCGCCCCCGCGCTCCGCGTCCCGGCGGGCCGCGGACGGCGATGGAGACTGGCGCCCGCCCGCCGCCGCCGCGCGTCTCCTCCCCGCGGCGCGCCCCGGAGCGCGCACCCCCGCCCGAGGCCCGGGCCGGCGCCTGGAGGACGCTGCTCGCGCCGCTGCCCGGCCTGCTGCGCCGGCTGCTGGCGTGGGGCCGGCTCCTCGGCGCGCTCCTGCCGGCGCTGGCCCTGCAGCCCGCCGCGCCCCCGCGGGCCCACGCCCTCCGCGCCGCCGCCGCCGCCCCGCCGGCCCCCGACGGCGGCCGCCTGCCCGAGCGCCGCGCGCGCCCCGCTCCGCCCGGGGGCGGCCCGCCGGAAGGCCGCCCTCTGCGCGTGGTGGGGCTGGAGCTCCCGCCGCCGGCCGCCGCGGGGCCGGCGCTGCCCACGCCCGAGCAGGACCACGGCTACCACAGCCTGGAGGAGGAGCACGGGCTGCCGCGCGCGCACGCGGGGCCCGAGCGCGCCGCCCGGCCGGCCTGCGGCAACCGGCTCATCGACTACATCCTGGGGGGCGGCCCGGCGGAGAGCGGCTCGGACGGGGAGGACGCCGCGGACGACGGCTTCGACAGCGGCAGCTCGCTCGCCGAGTCGGACCCCGAGCCGGACGCCGAGGGCCTGAGCCGCTGCGCCCCCGGGCCCCCGGGAGGCGCCCCCGCCGCCGAGGGGGGCCCGGCCGCGGGCGGTGCGGAGGCCGCGGCGCGGGCGGGCGCCGACGAGGCAGAGAGCCTGCGGCTCTGGAACGCCTTCTGTCGCTCCGACGACCCCTACGACCTCTTCAATTTCAAGGCCCCTTTTCGGACCGGGAGAAGCCGGAGAGGCCGTCGCGACTCCGCGGGGCCGCCCGAGCCCGGCGCGCCCTCGTGCGGGGCGGCGCGGGGGCCGGGCCGCGCGCGCGGCCGGAGGAAGAAGGTGGGCCCCTGCGTTACGCCCCGCGGCTGTGCCCGCGCCGGCCTGGGGTGCACGCGCGGCGGAGGGGGCCGCCCGGGGTCTCCCGTCCACGGACCGGGGTTGACCAGGGACCCGGCTTCGTGCCGCCCTGTGGGGGGTTCCTAGCCAAATCGGAGATGCCGGCGCGCAGGTGTTAGCAGGGAAGTGCCGTTTTCCTGGGGGTTGGCAGCTCTGAGCTATTTCCCTGCAAGCTCCGACTTTTCACTCTTTTTCACGGAGCGGGAAAATTAGACCTTGTGTATACACGATTTAATTTTTCCAGAGATTGAGAATGCCTTCTTACAGACATAGAGTTTTCAAATGAGGGTAAATGTGGTAAGTCGTTTGCAGACACTTTCTATTTTATCTACGTGAGTGTCTTCATTCCTGTCTTTTAGAACCCAAATGGTCGATGGTGCCAAGGAGCACCTCAGGTTTATCTAGTTTTTGCCACGAAAGAAAATGCTAATTTCAACATTAACTTTTGGACGGGTACATGATTTTGATTAACAGTCAAAAACAAGACAGGAAATAGCATTGCCTTTTCTTAGGGATACAGTACTAGTTATCATTGGCACCTGCAGGTTAATGATTGTATGTAAACTATTATGGTCACTTATTCGGTTTATCTGGAGTAGTTGCTTTCTGTTCCCAGGCTAGTCATCTTTTTTGTTTTTGAGGAAGATTAGCCCTGAGCTAACATCTGCCAATCCTCCTCTTTTTGCTGAGGAAGACTGGCCCTGAGCTAACATCCGTGCCCATCTTCCTCTACTTTATGTGGGATGCCTGCCACAGCATGGCATGCCAAGCGTCCGGGATCCAAACCGGCGAACCCCAGGCCGCAGAAGCTGAACGTGGGCACTTAACCGCTGGGCCCCCAGGCCGGCCCCCAGGCTAGTCTTAAAACTTCATGGAGCATTTTACTGTTTCAACACTTTGTCAGCGTTATTTTGGGGGTCTTTTGAATTGCTTTACTTTTTTTTCTATTGTTTATTCAGCTAAAGTTAATAATTGGAGAAAAATCCTTCCAAACTCACAGGGTATCTCTCTCTCTCTCTCTTTTTTTCTTTTTCTCCCCAAAGCGCCCCGGTACATAGTTGTATATTTTAGTTGTGGATCCTTCTGGTTGTGCTATATGGACACTGCCTTAGCATGGCCTGATGAGCAGTGCCCTGTTCCGCACCCCCAGGATCCGAACCAGCAAAACCGTGGGCCACCGAAGTGGAGCTCGAGAACTTAACCACTCGGCCACGGGGCGGCCCCAAACTCACAGGGTAGCTTTTGTTGCGGAGGGAGCGTTTTTTCACTTTCCTGGCCCTTTATTTGGAAAGGAAGCAGCGGGTGAATGATTACTGACCTCAAGTTCTGCAGCTTCAGGGAGTTTCAAGTAGACAGCACCAGAGTCCATTGGCTGCACGTGGCCAGCTTAATACTTTGAAACTCTTCCTGGGGTAGTAAATGTCTCTTAAGTCGTCGAGGTAATCTTATGTCTTATCTGGAGAAGCAGAATAAGTCATGTTAAAAAGTAAATTTTCATACTTTGTAAGTGCCGGCATAAAAGAGCTTTTCTCTGTCTTTTTAGGGGGCCCCTGACAAAACGGCCTCTTTAGTAACTAGGCGAGGAACAAAGTGGGGCGATGGATGAGCACTTGGCATCTGGAGACCAGTGTTCCCTGCTCCTGAGTAGTCGGGCCCTGGACCGTGGGAAGACAGCCAGACCTGGGGAGTAGCTTGACCTCGCATGGCCTCCATTCCCTCGCTTATCTGATGGGAGTAGTAATAATGTCTGTTGTATGAGTTACTGCATGAGTCAAATGAGAGGAGTCAATAAAACTCGTAATTCATTGCTTTGCCTTTAAATGGTAGCTCCTACTGTTCAAGGACCTCAGTCTCATTTTAGCTTGCTCATTGAGTAAAAATGAGATGAGTCAGGTAGATGTGAGAGTATTGACTGTGAACTGCAAGCAACGTTTATCTTTTTTTTGATAATCTTTTGTTAAAGATTATCAACATAATCTTTAATGATTATGTCTAAAATATGGTAAAATTATTCGGCAGCCTTTGACTACTTGCCGTTCTTTAGGTATATGGGAATAACGAATAGTGCCTCATTCTTGGAGTGAGGTTTTTGGATAAGGGAGTTTAAAATGCCTTGTGTCATGGCATAACAGTGCAGATTGTGGAGCCAGACTCAGGGTTTGAATACCAGTTACACCACAGAAGCTGTGTGATTTGAACAAGTCAGTTAACCTCTCTACCTCTGTTTTTCCTTATCTCTACAATGGAGATGGTAATAGTACATATTCTATAGGGTTGTTATAGGATTAAATGAGATAGAAATTGTAAAGTACTTTCAAAAGAGCCTGTCATATAGTAAACACTATGTATATGTTTGTTATTATTATTTGTCTTAGTGACAACGAATGAGTAACACTAAAATGCAATATCTAGTAAGGTGTTACATACCTACTAATTGTCCTCAGGGGCATTCCTTGGCCTGATATAAAGGGAATGAAAGTAGAAGGCCGCTGTGGGATTAGCTGATGTAACTGTTGAACATACTTTAAAGCAAGTATTTACTTTGGGAGTTGGATATCTTAGAAAGAAACTTATATATTAGAAATTAAGTAGGGATTAAAAGGGACTGTCACTTATTACATGTGATCATGTGTGTATTATAATCACAATTTCATGTATATATAATAGCATATTGAGGAATACAAAGAAGGTTTTTATCTTAACTACAAAGTCTCTTACAGTAACACAGCCTTAAAGATATGTTAATTTTGCTGCACTTTGTTTACTAAGTAACTTTCTCTTCTATATTCTGATTACAAAAGTAGTAATGTAAGAATAATAATGTTCATGATTCAAAAATTGGAAAGCACTGAAAAGTGAAATTTTTTTTTAAAAAAAAGGAAGAATGGGAATAAGTGGAGATCTTGTTAAAGGTTTCTGATGCTGAAGTACAAGCATTGACTTCCAGAGATAGATTTCTGAAATTCTTTGTTTGGGAACATCGATCATTTTGGAAGAAGAGTATCACAAAACTATTTCCCTAAGGATTAAAAACAGTAAGGATTAATATCAGGAAAATTTCAGTTCCCCATCTGGATTCAGTTTATTAACTCCAGAAGCCAAGGAGGGGGGACAGGAGTCTGTGTGTGTAAGAAAGAAGGTGGCATTTGCCCCTTGTTTTATTCAGATGCCGTCTAGTCAGAACTTAGTCTTTTTTCATTTCTGTTAAAGTTGAGACCAAATATTCCTGTGAGATATGTGATATTCCGAAAGAGTTGGTAGCAGAAAGGGTTAATTACCTCAATGATTTTATGATCCTAGAGCATGATTAAAATTCATCTTTGTCTTTATAGGTAACCTTCTTCGAAGAAGTCACCGAGTACTATATAAGTGGTGATGAGGATCGCAAAGGACCATGGGAGGAATTTGCACGAGATGGATGCAGGTTCCAGAAACGAATTCAAGAAACAGAAGATGCTATTGGATATTGCTTGACATTTGAGCACAGGGAAAGAATGTTTAATAGACTCCAGGACACATGTTTCAAAGGACTTGATATTTTTGAGCAATGTTAAGACGATTGAACAGCCTCTGGCCCTAGCATACACTACCTCTTACTTGAGAGGTTTCATTTAAAAACAAAAATTGGCAGCTGTCCTTTGACTATTTTTAGAGGATGTGCACCTTGGATCCAGTGACCTAGTTTAATATTTTTTGCACTGTGTCCTGCTCAGAAACATCCAGGTTTGTGTCCAGCCCTGATGATGAAGGATGGGATGCTGTGATCTCTAATCGTCCCGTGTTTGATGTAGTTGATGTGTTTGTGAAGGCCATTTACTTGCTCGGGTGAAAAGGGGACCTTTTAAAGTGTAATTTTGCTCTTTCAAAACTTGTTTTTATGGGAAACAATATTTATAGGGCTCAAAGCCCATTTTCCATTCTAATTTAAATTGTTTACCTGTATAAAAAGTTTGGGCTCTTCTCCCACCCCAACATTCTGAAATTAATGGGCTTTTATGTTTTCTGTTTTCAGTGATGTGGCCCTTCTGCTTTAAGGCTCAGAAAATAATTTTATATATGCTACCAACTTACAGAACATTATCTTGTGTCACTCTTTTTTCCTTCTAAAATGACTTTGGTTGAAAGTGTGTGGTGGGTTTTTATTTCTAGGTTAAGTTCTGCCGAAGAGGTTTCCAAGGACTGCCACCAGAGCTCCCTGTGCAGCACTCGCTGCTACTTTGGGAAAGCTGCGTCTTTCTGCATATTCTAACAGCTAATATAGTTCACTTCTGTGCAAACTGTCTTTGGGAGAGGGTTCTGTATATGTTGTTGTAGTTCTCAGTTGAATTGGTTCTTTGTATCTTTCAGCAAGTAGAAATTGTTGTAAAAGACTCCAGAAAGTAATAATAGCATCATAGGCATTTATTTTTTTTTTTGAGGAAGATTAGCCCTGAGCTAACATCTGCTGCCAATCCTCCTCTTTTTGCTGAGGAAGACTGGCCCTGAGCCAACGTCCGTGCCCATCTTCCTCTACTTATATGTGGGACGCCTGCCACAGCATGGCGTGCCAAGCAGTGCCATGTCCGCACCCGGGATCTGAACCGGCGAACCCTAGGCTGCCGAAGTGGAATGTGCGAACTTGACTGCTGCGCCACTGGGCCGACCCCTGTTTTTTAAATTTAAAAGCCTAGAATTTTCTTAGAAATAAGATAGAAGCCATTTCAGAGCGACTTTGTTTTGTTGTATGTGCTCTCACCAGAAAGCCAGTGTTATTAATGCCATGCCTCAGCACTGTCACTTTTAAAACCTGTCAGGGTGACACTAAACTTGGAGATGGGCAGTTCTGAATTTTCCAGTTGGAACTGTCAAATACAGACTTCAGCCAGCATCCAAGTTTCTTGTGTTCTACTGTTTCAACAATGAGGGAAGTGGTGGCAAGTCTGTACTTCGAGGAAAGGATAGGACTGGAGATTTAACAAGTAGAAGGTCTTGCTGTCTTTAGCCCAAAGTTTACTTTTGAATTGAAGTGTCTGCAGCAGCTGGTTGTGCTTGGTTTAGTTAGTTAGCTCTCCACGTGTGCATCTGTTAGGTTGAGGGAATGCTAACCAGCTCCCTAATGGTCGGTTTCTGCTCCACGTGCTTCCTGTCACAGGTAATGGAAAACCTGAGTAGAAAGATGACCTTCGTTTTGACCTTGTCTCAGCGTGGGAACAAGGTTTCCATGAGAAGTGCTTGCAGGGCTACTACCTCAGTTTGTAATCTACCTGGTCCTTGTTTTATGCCTCTCTGGCTTGCTCTAAAAACTGCTGCCAGTGTTAATATGTGTATTCATACGTAAACACTCTGCGGGTGTGACAGCGTGCAGGCGGGCCTGATTTTCACAGAGCCTTTGTTCTGTGTGTTCTGCGTCCCTCCCCCTTAGGTAGTCGTAGGGGGTGTGTTTATGGAGCCTGGTGGAACACCGTGGAAACAGGCTAGTTTCAAGCCCCAGCTGTGTCAGTGGGAAGGAAGGCGGCATTCGCCTTGAAAAAAGCTTTTGGAAAACGTGTAGGCATTCTTTGAAAACCAGACCGAAGTATACTTTTATTTCAGAGACTTAGGTTGTGTTCTGTGTTTCTGAAATCTAGAATGTTTGCATATTTGAAAATAGTGGGATATTTTTACATTTATTGGATTTGGGAAATTGTTCCTTGGGGTCCCACCCTCGGTGCCCAATGAGGAAAAGCTTGGTTAGGAGTGGTTTGCTGCCCTCCTCTAAAGGCAGTGGCCAGACGGGGGTGAGCAGGATGGGGGGACCGTTTGTAAGTTGGACCGAGGAGAAAAAGTTCCTGTCAGTTTCATCCAATCTTAGTTGTTAGAACAAACTTAAACCCCCATAATCTCAGAAAATCCTTGTAAGTTTTAATGGAACATTTTACACACTTCAAGTCTTGCAATGGTGCTTTAAGTATCAATGTAGCATGTGAAAGGCTTTGTACAGACAGGTGAAATTTCCTTTTCTGAGTGTTGAAATGTGATAACAGCACCTCTTCATCTTTAACTTGAAATCAAAACTATCAGATTTTATTTTTCTATAATTTAGGAAGGTGAAGTTAGCAGACTAGAAGACTTCCAAATTGGCTTCTACAGATCCAGTAATTTAAACGCAACCAGTTCATCGGGATTTTATAGCTAAAATTGTATTTGTGTCTATAACTTAACTAATCTGTAAATTGTAATAAATGTATTTGCAATTATTAAATGTTACATGATATTTTGGTTCAACTGTATATTGTGTGTTTCATAGTATTTTACATGGGTTTTGGAATTACTGAGCAGGATTTTCTGGATTAAATCAGGTATTTTTGCAGAAGCACTATAAATTTAGAGGTGCTAAAGACGAATTTTTGTGGTTGAAAAAGGTTATGTGACATGTAAATTGCACTTCAGCTAATAGAGGAAGGGTAAAAAGATAACTATTGCAATTAGAAAGCACAATTTAGTAATAGAAAGGAGAAGTTGTTTCTTAGAATATGAAATGCCCTTCTTGGACATCTCCAAGAAGGGATTTGATTCTAAAATTGTCCCCAGCCACCCACTTCTGCTGCAAAGCAGACAGTAAAACAGTATTCACAGAAGCAGTAAAACTCAGATACTGGGGTCAGCATGGTGTTTCTCCCAAGTAGCAGAGAAATCTTCTCTGTTTTGTGCATTATTACTGATGACCATGATATTGTACGTCACAATGTTCTCACATTTACAATATTGAGTGAATGTGATGGTAACACCAGAAAAAACTTTTTATCCTGAGAAAAAGACAAGCATTGGGGGACCAGTCTGGTGGCACAGGAGTTAAATTCACATGATCCACCTTGGTGTCCTGGGGCTCTCGGGTTTGGATCCTATGTGGGAACCTACACCGCTTGTCAAGCCATGCTGTGGCATGTGTCCCACATGTAAAGTAGAGGAAGACGGGCAGGATGTTAGCTCAGGGCCAGTCTTCCTCAGCAAAAAGAGGGGGATTGGCAGCAGATGTTAGCTCAGGGCTAATCTTCCTCAAAAAAAAAAAGACAAGCATTGGGTTATGGGAAACCTATTAATGTTAAGGCATAGTACTGTTCTTTATTAGGGATTTGGATCTTCCTAGCTAGTGAAGAAAAATTACTAAAGGTACATTGTTGCACTGGAAGGAAAGAAACTAACATTTGGTTGCAGATAATCAATGTTTAGTACAAATTGAGTTGACAGCCCCAGGTTATACTTTTCTTACCATCTTGGGGTTAATTTAAGCATTTTTGGCTGTTTCTCCTCAGGAAGGTATATGAAAATGGCCATAATCACATCAAGCCAGATTTATTGATATGACTATTCTGATATTCTATTGAAATTGTGCTTTTTTTCCTATTTTAAAAGAAAATTTAAAGCAAAATTTGCTGATCTCAGGAATCTTGATCGTTGCATGTAGAATTTGGTGGTCTCATTTGGACACTTCCTTTGGACTCTGTACTTTAAAAAAAATAAGAATGGGAACATCCTCGCTTTTTTCTCATAAAAATACATGTTATTTATAAAAGTATCTAATATAGAGATATACAAAGGCATTTTTGGTACATTGTAAAAGATAAGTATGCTGCCCATGGTGCCTTTTTGAGGTGAGAGACAGTTTTCTTTTTATGCATATAAAGAGGTTTTGGTATTTTTTTTCTTTTTCTTTTTTTTTGAGGAAGATTAGCCCTGAGCTAACATCTGCTGCCAATCCTCCTCTTTTTGCTGAGGAAGACTGGTCCTGAGCTAACATCCGTGCCCATCTTCCTCTACTTTATATGTGGGACGCCTGCCACAGCATGGCTTGCCAAGCAGTGCCAGGTCCGTACCTGGGATCTGAACCAGCAAACCCCGGGCCACAGAAGTGGAATGTGCCAACTTAACTGCTGCGCCACCAGGCCGGGCCCTGTATTTCTTCATTTAACTGATTATGACACAAATGTTACCAATTTGGGATCATTCTGCATGGGTAATTAGAGTTCTTTCCTTATGGACTTAGTTGAATGGTTTGTGATCAATACAAAACACCAGTCTTTTCGTCCCTGGGTTTGCTCCAGTGAGATCGTTCCTGTTGTCGTTTAGTTCTGACTTGAGAATACAAAGGCAGCGTGATAGCAAGGTCCACAACAGCATGTGTAATAAATAGGATAAATCTCTTCCAAGCCTGTGAACTGTGAGGGTTTATCAAGCAGGATCTATAATGCTTTCAATTGATACGCTTTAGAGACAGGTTGACCTGAGGGCGTTTAAAGAGAAGTCATTGTACCCGTGGCCTGTAGAACACGGGGTGGAGGTGAGGGTGCGTATGACCTAACACTTTGAGTCGCATCATCAGTGTTTCTTCATTGGCAGACTCCGTAATCTCGCCAGGGAAAGACAGAGGAGACTAGGTTTATGGAATGTGGGTTGCTTGGCCCATGGGGAGGGCACCCTAGGGATCTACTGAGAACATAGTGTCTAGAAAGCTGAACCACAAAGGAAGACACTCTCAAGCCATTTCCCACGTTTTGTGCTTTTCATCTTTTACCCTTCACTTCGTCTCCATGCTCTCCTTTTCCAGCTTCCTCCTGCCTTTGCTGAATGTTTCATCTTCACTGCTGTTTTATAGATCCTAGAAGAAGGATGAGGATCTTCTTGCCAGAGGCCTGTGTTCATTAAAGATGCCATCCAAGGTGGGCCTGACAGAGCTCTAACTCTGCAGAGCTCTGTGCAATTCTCCACCAAAACGTCAGGGTAATACCTACGCTTTGAGGCTGGACTGACTTTCAGAAACGTCCTAGAGATGTTGAGTCAAAGGAAGAGGTGACAGTAACGCTGGGTCATGCTGCTTTGAGTTAAGCCTGCTTTTCTTAAAGGGGTTCGTATGTCAGCTCTGAAGGGAAAAACCCGAGAGGAGTCCCAAAAGAGTTTTGAAAAAGGCTCATCTGGATGTATGTCGTGGAAAGGTGGTTTTTAAAAACAAATTTCCTCATGAGAAGACCAACTCCACTTTGGATCTCAAACACCCCCTCCAAGAGACCCCTCAGCACCCTACCCCCACCCCTCCTTGCCCTCTGACATCACCTTTTAAATGAGGTTAACTCTGACCTCATCTTGTCAACATTGTGTGTGTGTGTGTGTG